TGACTTAATTAGATTTCCTGTGCCTAGAAGTGTATGCCGTTCTAACCACATGTACTCTAACACTGCCGAACAGCAGTGTCTCCCAGACGGCCATCAGTGGCTTGCCTCATGGATTCTGATATGACACGTAAGGGGGGAGGGAGCAGGAAAGAGGAGTAGATTCGACATTCAAACTGCTAACACTTTTGACAGGGTATCGTTTTGAGTAGAATAGAATCTGATTGGCTAGGTGCATAATTTTCCGAACGGAGTGAGAGATGTCAGAATAACAACAACCTCAGATCCATCTCGAACACGGACCAACGAGATGTAGATATGGTTGAAATCCTTGCTCTTAAGGCCAGTTGGACCTATGTTTTATGGAGGAAAAGGCGTATTATAATACCGGTAGACGCCAACGCAGAAAAAAGTGGAACCAGAGAGAATAACAGTTACTCTTTAGTTGCGCTACCGAGAGGAGGACACACTCCTAGGATGCTTTAATCGGGCTTGTCAGAATTGGCTTGTGTTGTTGAGACTGCCTTGCTAGATAAATGCTGTCCAACAAAATAATTTCAAATACGAAGTATTACAAAATAGAATTGCATGATTAGTTTTTGCTGGAAACAGGTGTTTTCGTAAGAATTCCGAAAGCAACAATAAAACATTTAATCAAGTCACGCCAAGTGGTTAGGGACTACATGAAGTCCAACTAACTATGCCCTTGTGGATGCCAAAACCCGGTTAGACATCCAGATATTTAATGATTACTACCATAGATATTTTGATAATCATTCGTGTTATTGTAAAATTCCAAAGGGGGTTCAACATGAGCAGCATTATCAAGCGGGTTCATTTTTTCAACTTTACAGACCGCCCTTTTTGAAGCACATCTGGCGTTCAACTCTTGTATCGATACAGGCAGTGGCCTGAACTAGCAGTTTTGCCACTATTATATTTTTAACACCGGACTCGCCGGAATTTTTTAATACTAGCGAGCCCGGAAGGCATCTCACTTTGCAAGTTTCTCCTCACGTTCTTCCTCTGAGCTCACCTGATTCATATAGTACACTTGCACCACCCTCTACGACTGTATCTACGTTGCCTCATACTACGTTGCCTCAGACATCAATTGAGACGGCGTCAAACGAAAAGATGCTTACAAACCTAAGTACGAATCACGATTTGGGCACACCATTGTAAAGAGGATGATCTCCTCTTTCGATTGATGCATTCAGATCTACAAAAAGTGAAAAACTCACTGAGCGACGAGTCTCAGAAAAACATGCCTCCTTGAAAAAACATTTTTTCCAAAAAATGTTTTTAGACCACTGGAAACCATATTTCTTACTGAATCGATTGCACCTGCTCCTAGTATCTAGTTTGCTTAACTTCCTTTCTAAAAATGTGTTTTAATTTCGGAGATCTCAATTTCGTGGGGTATATTTTGAACTTTTGGGTACTAAATTTTTATTTTTTGGGTTTTTGGGTATAGGATGGAAGGATCATTCTGATGTATTGCTAACATTCCGCTCACGGATTGACCTAATTGTCCTTCTTCGCTCGCTTGCGGCTTCGGGTCCCAGTCTTGGGCTGCGCTGATGTAGCTTTTGATACGTTTGCATGGTCTTCATTCTCTTCTTTACAATCGACAGGGGCGACCTTCGCTTCATCACAAATTGCAGCGTCTATTTTTTTTCCTTGGCACTTGCGCTGTGACGTGCCTGCTTAGCTTCCTTCGCGTGGCGCTCTTCTTTATCCGTAGGGGCTGCATACAGGGGGTCCGACGCAATCTCGGAAGGGGCGTACGGCCTTCCCTTGTTGTACATTTGCTGCTTTTTCTCGAAATTTGGAGGCGGTGGTTGTAGAGGCTCTAAGTACGCAGCTAGTAGACTCCGCACTTTTGCAGCGTTCGTCTGTATGCCGTCAAAAGACCGTCGAAGGTCTTAGCCCACGGGCTGGTTTGCAGGACCAACACGGCAGCTGACAACCCCTGGCTTCTTCTCGCTCATTGTGAAGATCTGGTAGCGCTGCACCCCCAGATTCTTGTAAGCCTCTTTGACGGGCGTTCGGAACAACTTCATCATCGTGTTCTCTTTGGGAATATGGACAAGGGCCGAGCTAGACGAGGAGTCGTTGATAACCTCGAGCAGCTGATCAGCCGTCCACACGTCCTCCTTAGCAATCTTCTTCCTCATAAGGCCGAAGCCACGGTCAACAGCGTTCTTGGTGTGGCCCTTCACGAAAAACTTGAGCTCAACGACATCAAGTTCTCCAGTTTGAGCTAAAGCCAGCAGCATCTTAACAACGAAGTTATTCTTGTTTTGGCCACCGCAATTGTCAGCGTAGATAGCGAGTTTTCGATGGCCGTTCGTCAGCACGATCCGCTGGATGAAGTGATACAGCATGCTGTTGACCTCGTCCGTTCCTTTCCCAGCAACCGATTCTTCGTAGACGTAGTTGTACTGTTGTCCCTTGTTAGCGTAGTAGATTCCAAAGACGTGAACGTTCACAAGAGACAAGAAATACCACTGAGACGGCGTACTGGCGACGCTGGGAAGGGTCAGGTTTTGACTGAAATCCATGACGCTAACTGCGTGATCCTCCGACACGGATGCCAGGTCCTTCTTGTACTCCAGCCTAAACAAAAAGTTCGCAGTTAAACAAAATGATCTTTGCGTCCCATCTCAAACAAAATGATTCTTGCATCCCTACCTCATCTTCTTCGCGGCTTCAGTGTGGACGCCTAGCTCCTCAGTAAGCTCCGCTGTGATACACGACCGCATGCGTGTGTGCAGGATAGCACACAAGCCACAAACGTTGCTGCGAGGAGACCTGATCCGAATAGTCGGGCAATACTGCTGCAGGACCTTTCGAAACGTCGAAGGGCGGTGTTCACGTACATCCAGGTCGTTCTCGAGAACGTGTCTTTTCCCAGTTCCCCGAACTGCTTCATTAGCATCGCCAACGAAGTCAGAACGCTCTGCTTCTTCTCCTGGGCGGTCATGTTTGATGTCGAGCGCAGGAAATCCTATGTCATTGTGGCCTTCCGGATCCGGTCTCAGCAACCCAAGCAGCCTTCTTTCACCAGAAAGGGCAACGCCCTGCTCGGACGACACACTAGGGCTTGTATGACTGCTGGTGGGTGGTGCCGGAGTGGAGGAGGTGGCCGGACTCATGTCCATTGTTCGGTTGAGTACAAGATCGCTTTCGATACACCTCGAGAAAAAATGGGTATGTGTGGGAAAAGCCTCTTTTTGCAAAACTTCATTTAAGTCCGAATTTCACTCGCCAATCTTTAAAGCCGTTTTTCTCGATAACTCCAAATGGTTCGTAAGGATCAGTTCGTTTGACGCCGTCTCAATTGATGTCAGCCAACACAACTTAAATGGGAATGGAAAAAATATTTCGAGAGATCTGATTGGCTGGGATGGCATTCAGACGAAAAAAAGCCATTAATAATTTAATGTTTTTTTTCGTCTGAATGCCATCCAGTAAACATCTTTGCCCATCGGCCAATCAGATCTCTCGGCCAATCAAATAAATAAAGGTGCATTCACGTTTGAAAAAAAAACGGCATTTATCTATAAATTATTAATATTATAATTGAAATTGTTTCTATTATTGATGTATTTAAAAAATGTCAAAATTTTAATATTGATAATAACAATTGTTTTTCGTTAAAAATTCAATTGCTGGTCTAAAACTGTTTTAATTTCCAAACTTATTTTCGCTTTTGCTTCAACTTTACAGTTCCACGATGACGCGGCGCGCCAAGGAACGACGCATGGAGCGCGTGCACGCCAAGCTGCGGCAGCAGGAGGAAAAGCTACTGCGTGACCAGCGTCTGAGCTCCCGTCCGGCTTGGATCCAGCTACTCGCAGCCATCGACGGGCCGTCTCCTAATAGCAGCAGCAGTCTGCACGTGTCTAGCCTTGACAGCCCCATTAAGCACAAGCCTCCGATCGTAGACGAGCTGCAATGGAAGAGCTCTCAGGTGCCCATCGCGGCCTCGGGCGGCTTCCAGCTACCCATTAAGCTTGACGCGCGTAAGGGAGAGCTGCACTATTCGTTCTCCACGAGAGACTACGACGTCAACTTCGGCGTGCAGATGATCTGCGCCGACGGGAGTTTGATTGAGCTGCTGGACACGCGGCGTTACGAGAGCCAAAAGCAGAAGGTGGAGGGCCAGCTGAGCCTCACTGGTCCTGGGATGGTACTGTTATTGTGGGACAACTCATTCTCGTGGGTCAACACCAAACAGCTCGCCTATCACGTGGAGCTAAAGCAGGAGACGCTTCCCGTGTCTGACGCGGAGAAGACGCAACTGGCACTTAAGGCGAGACTCGAGCGTGAGCAGAAGTTGCTGCAATCGGAGGGAGAATACGACAGACTGGAGACGCAGATGCAGACCGAGGCGCAGACGATCGACTTCCTGCGTCATCAGATCGAAGAGCTGCAGCTGCAGTTGAGGCAGCATGAAGAAGAAAGGGAGACCATCAACAAAAAGAAAGAACAAGTGGGAGAACACATTGAAGAGCTTTGCTGGGAGCTGCAAGGTACGACAAAACGTATTGGTTGGACGGGTGACTTAAGCTGAATGTGTGCTGGGGTTTTGTTTTGACAGCGCTGAGTTGGAGATGCTTAGACCAAGCTGCACTGCATCGTATCCTGGGTTATCTGGGAGAAAAAGATCTAATCGCATGGTGCGTTTTTGTTATAATGAGATTTCGTTTGATGTTGCTGGTTAAAGAACTTACACCTCTTACGTTTTGATTTTCTAGGTCGTTGACAAGCAAAAAATGGTACGAGCACGGGCGCGCGTATCAGGCCAGCAAACGCGAGACTGAAGAGGCTAATGGCCAACCTGCTGCGCGAGAAATCAGCTTCAATTCCTGATTTTTAAGTTCCAGTCACCATGCATAGAAGACGAAAGCCGCGCAGGTTCGTCATTTGTCGTCCTTGCTTGTTGTGAGCTGCTCGATGGTCTCCAGGAGTTTTCTAATTTTCAAATAGATTTCCGTTAGTTTACGATAAAGCACGACATACAAATTTCATGACAAAGGTGTGATCGTACTTGGCGGCCTCCATGTCACTCGAAGCTTTCTTCGACAGCAAGCTTCTTCCTGGTTTATTTTCTCCTTCTTGGTGTCCCGAATCTTCAGTCATTTCCAAGACTTCATCGATATCTTCTAGTACTCTAGCTGGTGGTGAAGTTCCATCCGAGACGACATCGCCAATCCGACTAAGGCGCTTTGTATTATCCAAGACAAATTTTAGCATAGAATATTTGGGTTCAAATGGCATCCACCCTGACTTACCTTCTGGGAAACCTTAAATTCCTCGTCGATTGAATTCGCACAAGTCTCCAATACTCTGAGACGTTGCGTCATTCGCTGCATGTTGTCGCGCAGGTCAATTAACGAATTGATCCCGCTTGTCCTCTCTCGTTCAACGCTAGCTGTGCTTTGTAAGCGTTCTCGTACAGGATAAAGTTCTCGGTATCTGGCACGATATCTTGTCCTCATTGTGTCACCCAGTTGTTCAGCAGCATCGTTTTCTTGGCCTTGGTCACTACTAACGCTTGGTGAGCGCTGACCGTCGGACTGGTTTTCATCACTTCCATCCTCTGAATTTACGTTTCGAACAACTACGGTCGGAACAGAGACTGGCATAGTTGTGTCCTCGGTTACAGTCGCATCAACCGCGTTTGAATTGCCAAAACGAGCTACTTGTAAATATTTCTTTTCCTTGAAATGAGCCCCGCCATTTAGGTCAAGCCAGACCGGATACTTGTCCACAATGTTCAGCGGTGGTGGTGATTGCTTTCTTCGACCACCCTTAGTTGGCCCAGTCTCATTCAGACGACACTGAATTCCAACACCGTTTTGCGAGCTCTTTACGTTGATGGGTGCAGTTTCACACTCCTGCGTCATGGGTGACCCTTTCTCCGGCCCAGAGTCGTTTTGCTGCGTGCTTACAGACTCATTCATTTCTTTCGCTGCAGAAGTTGGAACGATAGAGTCACTTGTCTGTGCGCTTGCTGTCTTCAGCTGAATCACCTCTGTCGATTCAACACTATCGTGCAGAGCCTTTGGGTTGGGTGTGTACGTCTTCGGGGTCCGTTGATGCTCCTGGTGAACGAATTGTCTTCTTTTTACTGAAGGATTCCGTTGTTGCGCGTTTCTACCTAGTAGCTTTAGGCTCGCTTTCTCGATCCCGTATTCTAGGCGCAAAGGATATACCGGTTCTTTTGCCAGAAAGCGTTGGGTTTCGCTGCTTCGTTGATTTTTCGAGGGTTTCCTTTTGACACCATCACGCTTTTGCCTATTGGGTTTTGGAGAAGCAGCAGGACATTCGATATCACGACTAGTCTTCGTACTGTCACCATTTCCAATGTTTGGCGTTCCATTTTCATTAGCAGCAGCCGAACCCTCCGTTTCCCCGGTTGTGTGACCAGAGTTTTCTTGCCGGAGTCGAAATAGTTTGAGTGCATTCCGAACAGAGTCATGACGTTGGGTCGGCTTACAAACTGGTTTTGCCTGTTTACTAGCGTCTGAGCTAGCCGAAGAGTATCGATGTCGACTCATATCGCGGACTTGAAGTGATATCCGTGCCATTTTCTGAACGTCAGCTAAATCACCAGCAGATTTACTTGTAACATCGAGCGTATGAGGTAGCAGCTCAGATGGCAATCCCTTTACGTCTCGAATAACTTCCTCAGGTTGGACCACTTCATGAGAGCTCGCTGAGCTAGATCGTCCGGTAGATGTTACGGCGTGGATTCTGTCTTCAAGATGCCGTGTTTGCGCTTGCAGTAGTGCCATCACTTCGTCTCGAGATATTGAGCTCTCCGAGATCTGTACTTGGTCAGTCGTACGATTTAGAGTTTCTTCACTTTTAGTGTGTACCGGTAGCACATTTTGATCATTCTCATGCGAGTCTTCTCGTGGTTCAGACGTAGACGTGCTGGATTCATGCGGAGGATTATCATTACTGACAGCTACCACTTCATAGGGACATTTCGCCAGTACCGACATGATCTGTAAAAACTCCTGGTCACAGCAGCAATTCACTAGTATGTCAATATCATCGCTATCGTTCTGCGTCAGCTTTTCGCTTTGAAGGGTGCCTTGAAATGCTCGCCTCATGCGTGTTCGAACCTGCTGGTAATGCATCTCTTTCTCTTCTAGCGACAAATCCATACATGATTGCTGGACGACTTGTCGTAGGCCTTTATAACGTTTAAGATGCCGTGTAGGGATTTTCTGTGCTGGAAACCCCCATGCAATGACTGTAGCTGTTTTGGTTGGATTCATTGAGGCAGCAGCTTCCAAGAGCGATAACTGACGGCTATGAAGCTCTTCGTTGTCACCAAAGAGCATCCCCATAGAGTTTAAATGTAGCGCACAAGTGGCAGCGAGAGCACCAAGCGTTTCAGTCTCATTAGTTTCAGTTTGTATATCAAGAGTATGTGCGCCTCGATTGCAATATCCAACCTTTTCACGAAGCCATAGAGCCCACGCAATTAACGCCAGAGATCGAGAAATTTTCTGTTCCCTTAGAGACAGCCCTGGGTGGACATCCTCAGGCGGGAATCTAGGTAGGCGCAGCTCCCTTTCTACTGGATTGATAATTGTTCGCACTTCCGTAATATAATCGCGTAGCATTTCTTTTCCTTGTGAGTTTGATTCCAATTGAGAAGCGAACAAATTCATTACGAAAGCACGCTGGAAAAGGCTACCAGCGTTTTCACTAGCTGCTTCCAGATGCCAAACAATTTGTAACATCAGGAAAATCACACGAGCTCGCAATCTTTTGTCAAGATGCGAAAATTCCCATAATAAGTTCTCTTTGGAAACGTGATTTTTTGCTGGAAGAGTAGTCAACTCAGTGAATAAAGACTGATGGTAATCTTCAAATTCATCGCCAATGCCAACGGAAACGCGCTGTACAACGCACTCTGCTTCCCGGTTGGAATATTTGAACTGTCGTCGAGCACCAATTCGTCGGAGTATCGCCATCGCTTCGCCGATATATGATTCACTCGCTTGCCAGTGTAGATTCAAGGTATTATCCGAAAGTGCCTTGCTTTCGACTGGTTTTCCATGGATTTCTGCCGCCTTGCACAGTTCTTGAACGCACAAATGCGCAATAGGACTTCCACTTTCCACGCAGAAATTTACCAGCAAATGTAGCGTGTTAGATTCTGCGGCAAATCTTACAACTTGATTTATGACAGCTTTGCGTTTAGGAGCCATAGGTCGAGGGTCATCGATTCGTCGTAGCCAAGGTTTTAGAAAGCAGCACAGCATTTCTTTTCGCTTTAAGAAATTGGACAACGTAAGCGAGAAAACGTGCTCCAGGTCGATCATCACTCCATTCACGCCCAGGTAATAGCACGCTAGTGTGTACGATGTGATGAATCCCCTCAGCCGCTCCATCAATGGATCATCGATTCGTTCAGCTTTGCTTATTACACCAGCAATGGACGATCCATCTTCGTACTCAATGATCCGCTGACAGAGCGAAGAAATCTGAAATACCTTTCCCGGTGTTAACTTACCCCGTGAATGAATTTCGTGCAAGATACTGAGTGTGGCTTGAGTATACACTCGAAGAAATGCTGCTACTTCCTTTGAACGCACCGACCAATCTTCTCTCTCACTCACTCTATTCAGCACTTTTCGAACTTGTAAAGAAATTTCTTGACTCTCCTTGAGATAATGTTGTTTTCGATCGGATTTCGTTCCGTACGAAGAAAGCAGCCTGGAACTTATTTGTCGGACTAGTGGTGCTTCCATTGAGATCGTGAGAGAAACCAGCATTTCCATCAATTTCAAGCTTTTGCCGATACAATCAATTGGGTCCCGCGAGTTACTGCTGTTGACGGAGTCACCAGCTAACTGTTGATGAATATTACACAACAGCGTGAAATACGAGTCCTCAAAAACGTTTTGGCTTCGACCAAGTGCAATCTTCGCGGAATCAAGGAGGTCGTCCGAGCTAGGATGAGTTTTCCCTTCCAAAAGTTCCCGAATACACTCGCCAAAATCCTACCGTAGTAACAAAAAATCCTACTTGTGAGCTCAGTAGTGACCATTACTAACATGAATCAACTTACAGTAGATCTCTTGTTCAATCCTGTGATCCCTTCTCTGTTACGCTTAGCAAATGCACCTGTTGTGGATAATTCAGTCCATTTATTTGGACCATCAGCGTTGTTCGATGACGACTCATCGGCAATAATTTCAAGCTTGAACGCTGCACAAGTCGCTCCAAAATCAACGACAAGCTGTTTTTCCTGCTCAACCCACATCAGCTATAATTTTTCTTGTGTGAGCAGTGTAGTGCATCAATCGAAGTATTTAAGTTTCGAGAAATAGCATGGGTTACCTGTAGAGCGGCAGAAACTGCCTTTCCCAGCAAAGCACTGATACTCAGACGCTTTGACATGGTGCTGGTGCTTACGATTGCTAGACATTCGAAGCACCCCACAGCACTAACGCTCGCAATGCTGATTTGGCCTGAACGTGATACAGAACAGTATGAGATTCATATAACCCCAAGGTCGCCGGTGTTGACGTACCGTTCTCAAGAAGCGCAGCGAAAGCAGTGTCCTGATCGATCCAAGCACCATCCAATATTCGATGATCCAAGGTGAGGCGTTTTACTGGACTATTTCGCAAATTTTGGTCAATATGGAGATGATACAGCGAATTTGCAGAAGTGAGCATCGCGAATTTCCAATTACTCGTCATAAATAATGCTAACTCGTCAACAGAGTTAGAAGCTCCCAGCACTCTGGACGAGAAACTAATAAGAGCCCAGTGGGAATCCACATCGAAAATCCACTTCTCTACAACTAAAGACGCATTCGAATCCCCTCTTGCTCTCAGATACACAAAGCAGTTTCCCATCACAGCTGAGCTAACAAACTGCCCACAACTACACGTTCCAATTCCCATTGTGACTGTAGCTGTTCCGTCCACAGTTCTCCAATCAGGCTGACTTGTTGTCTCAGACATTTCATTGCATTTCCAACCCCTTTGGCTAAATGCGTATAATATTCCAGTCGTAGCTCCTACTACCGCAACCCGGTCTCCTTTGGCATCGACAAAAACGTCAGCGATCTGCTCGCTCAAACTCGGCAATACTCTTGCAGCTACTTCTCCACTCTCGAAATCCACAACGTAAACAGCTACTTCTCCGCAGTCTTGCTTGCTATTTTTCCATGCTACTCCAAATTTCCCAATCCAATTCCTCTCGTTAAACGTAACGTTGGGTGGCAGCTCCACGACATGTCGGATGTCTAATACTCCGGCGCAAAACTTTTGTGCATCCGCCACACGTAGTGAATTCTCCGCGTTTTTCAGCACCATATTATCATCTGCTGTCCGGAGTATGCAGCCATACTTGGATCTCGTCTCATCTCGCTCTACATCGAGCGCAATCGCCGTCGGTGCGCCGCACACCTGCACCCTCGTTGTCATGTGTCTTTTCACTTTAAGATCTGTTTTCCACCAATCAATAACGTCCAAAGTTAATTATCCGCGCCAAACCGCCATTTTCGAATTACTGTACCTAAAAGTTAAATGGCGGGATCAGATAGCTCCGAGGAAGACGAGCCCATTGCGGCGCCGCAAGCGGTCCCTGCGCCCCCTGTACGACGCTGTCTAAATCTCCAGCGTCTTGTCTGTCTTGCCATATTAATATCTCCCGTGCTCTCGCTCCGTAGAAGGCGTGGATGGACGAAGACGCCGACGAGGAGGAGGAGGACGCCGATCTGAGCCAATTACAACGCCAGCGCACGCCCAAATTCAAGCGCTGCGTTGCCGCCGTGGAGAAGGACCAATGGAACGCCGACGCGTGGATCGCGCTCATGAACGAGGTGCAGCTGCTGCCCATTACCGAAGCCCGTGAGCACTACGAGGCCTTTTTGAAGCAGTTCCCCACCTCTGGGAGATGGTGGAAACTCTACGCCGAGCACGAGCTGCGAGAGAAACAGTACGACCGAGTACAGGAGATCATCAAGAAGTCGCTCATGCAGCTGCGCTGTCCCAATGTGGATCTCTGGCGCTTCTATTTGGACTTCACTAAGGTTGTCAAGCTGGATGTGGCTGTGGACTCGAAGGACGCGGCGGCTATTGCCACAGCCAGACAACTCATGGTGGACGCCTTCGAACTGGCGGTCGAGAGAGTGGGGGGCTCTATCCATGCAGCCCCTATCTGGCAGATGTACTTGACCTTTGTGCAGGAGGAACAGGACCCGCAGGCCTTCTTGAACGTGAGGAAGCTCTACCATCGCATGGTTATGGTGCCACTCAATGGCATGGAAACGATCTGGAGAGACTACGAGAAATTTGAAAGAGCCATCCCAAATAACGAGGCGTTGGCACAGAATTTCTTCAAGGTCTTCAGACCAAAGTTTGACGCGGCACGAGCGGTGCTGCGAGACCGTAAAAAGCTGTACGACCAGGTGAATACAAACGCTCTGGCTGTCCCTGCGACGAGCTCGAGGGCTGATACAGCGGATATGGCCAACTGGCAGAAGATTCTCGCGCTGGAAATGGGGAACCCCGAGAGATTAGACGCGCTGCGTCTCAAGTCGCGTATGCGCTACACGCTCGAGCTCTTTGTGAGCGTCAAGCGGCATTATCCCGAGGCATGGTACCAATACGCTGCGTACGAGAACCAAGCGAATGATCCGGATGCAGCGACCAGCGTGTTTGAACGAGCGATTGAAGCAATCCCCGACTCGAGCTACCTGCACTTTGCATTTGCTGACCACCACGAACTTCGTGGAGATATTCCCGCTGCTAAGGCCATTTACGAAAAGTTGCTCAAGGATCATGTGTCGGCTCTCGCATATGTCACGTATCAACGCTTTGCTCGCCGAGCGTACGGCGCCAAGGGGCTAGCAGAGGCTCGAGCAATCTTTAAGAGAGCACGCAAAGACGAACGGGAGGGAGCGTGTACATACCACGTATTCGCTGCGTCAGGTAAGCACACTTCCAAGTACGAGGTATTGCTTACAATCTTTTAATGCTTATCTTGTTGTTCTTCTGCAGCCCTGTTGGAGTTTTACAGCGACAATTCCGAAGCCGGGAAAGACATTGCACTCAAGATCTTTGAGCTAGGCTTGAAGAAATGTATTCAGGAGCCTGCCTACGTGTTGTGCTACCTTGACTTCCTCGGCCATCTTAATGATGACAACAGTAAGTGCTTCAAAGTGTGTTGTGTGAGCCGGATTGAAACCTGACAATGACTTTAAACTCTACAGATATGCGGTCCTTGTTCGAGAAGGTGTTGTCGGTCATGCCGTCGGAGGTATCACGCCCGATTTGGGACCGATACGTTGAGTTCGAGCACACAATGGTAGCCAGCGGTGGTGATCTCGCCACTGTTGCAAAGGTGGAAGCTCGGCGGGCCATGGCGTTCCCGGATGAACCATTCGTGGAGATGAAAGGACTACTGAGTATTGCCCACCGGTATTCATTCCTGGACTTGCGGCCGCCGACGAGTTGTGATCAGAATTTCCTCGACATGTATCGTTCGTCGTCCCGAGGTGGGTCCTCTGGAGCCAATCGTGATGATGACGATGGAGAAGGAATGGGAGGCGCAGGAGGATTCAATATTGACATGGACAGGTGCGCCATCTTTTGGCTAATTGCTAGTGTTCGTGTAGGTTAAATACTGACGTTATGTGTGTGTGCAGGCAAATTCCTGGTCCTCCGTTGCCTGATTTCTTGAAGGAGTTTGCAGGGATGTTGCCGTTGAATCTGCCCTGGAACGGGCCGATCGCTGATGTGGAACACATCTTCCGCGCCATGCTGCTAGTGGATTTCCCTCCTCGTTCGCGCATTGAGCAGATGGCGCAACAACAACAGCAGCAGATGCAACAGCAACTAGCACTTCAGCACCAACAACAGCTTCAGCAACAAGCTGCTGAAGCTGAAAAGAATAGTGCGCTTGGCGACGATGACGGCGCGTCTGGAGTGGTCAGCAAGCGACCCGCTCACGATATCTTCCGCTCGCGTCAAAAGCAAAAACTGTCGAAACTCGGATAGTTTACGGTGGGACGAGTAGAGAAGGCTCGAATACTAACATCACGAGCTCTTGTGCGTCTTCTTTTGCTTTTTGAAGTTGACGACAATGGTCGGAAATCCCAGGTCCTCGTTGTCCTGCAGTCCCACCGCAGACTTTTTTCTTCCTGTTACAACCTTGCCATTCGGTGCGTAAGACTTGACAACAAACCCATCAGCGCCATCGTCCTCTTCTTCAGACAGCGAGTCCTCATCAAGTTCCTCTAGTTCCTCGTCGTCCTCGAGATCGGTCTCATCGTCATCATTGTCCATCGACAGAGCAGGACGCCAATCTTTGAGAAGTGCAGCTGTGAGCTCCTTTGCCTGGAGAGTCCGACACGCAGAGACGAGTTTGTCGTCGCTCAGCATCACATCTCGATGCTCGTAGTCGCTCCAAATACTTTCCGCAGACTCCCAGTCGATCTTTGCTGTTTCCAATGCGATGTTATTCACCGCACTATTCAATGACAACACAAGCACAGTTAAGGACTTAGATCAACAACACTTAAACGTGAAGCTAGGACACGCACCTTTGATCTTGCAAGAAGTCCTGAAGTTCCTGAATACCGTGAGAAAAGAACGGCAGCAGTTTCGCCTCGGACTTTGAGATCCACCGGCGTGTATTGTACTTTTTCCCGTATGCTTTGGCCAGCAACTCGTTGGTCCACCCTCCTTTTCGACGACTGTTTCCATTGTACTGCATTTTAAGCATCACTCGCTCCTGGAAGGCCGATGTTACTGTTTCCATTGTTGCTGCCATCGCATCGGCAGCACCAAATAGTACACTCAAATGTTTTAGTGCGCCGGTGTTGTCAGTCACACTTTGCTCGACGCGCCAGGCAATACACTTCGCTATGATCGACTTAGCAGTCCGTGTAGCAAACGTTCCTCCTCGCAGTACCAACAAGTTTGTTTTCACCGGTAGATTAAATCCGCACATTTCAGCCTGCGCGAATACTCGTAGAACACTTTCAAGTACGTGCATCGCCCGGCAGTAATCCGAGAAGGGATTTAAATCACTAATGCCTTGTGAACTCGGTTTCCTCGGTGCTGCTCGATGCAACGAAGCAATGGCACATAGCATAACTGCCTCAACGAAATATGGCAATGACTCGTGTGTCAGGCTTTTCAGCACGATGTGCTTTCCGTCCATAACCACAGCGAGTTCATCCTGACGGCGCTTTTCTTCCAAATCATCATCGGATTCATCGTCACTTCTTGCTGTGTGTTTCTTGCGGTTTCTTTTATCCTGATGTGGTACTGCAGCATCGATGAGAACACGCATTTCCTCGAGATACTGGGCCAGCAGGAATGACCCTGCTGATGCTGAGGTCGCGTATGCCCAGGACCCAACCACTAGGTACGCAATATGGCGCCATTTCAAAGCGCAGTGATACTTCGCCAGCGAACACATACGACCATTGCTCGGTGACACGACAGCGTTCGGCAGAGACCTTAACGGTAGCCCGTTGAAGAATTTCCCAATGTCACTTTCAAACTGGTTTGGAGTCGGGAGTGACGGGAACGTTTGATGCAGCAGAGCAAGACAAAGTTGACTAACCAAAGGGCTCTTTCTTGTGTTCAGCACAAGAGACATCAATGCATCAGTAACCAGACACGCAAGTGTCGGATCCTGACATGCAGACAAAAAATCAGCAGGTTAGCTCGATGGATATGGTGAAGAGCGTAGTAGTGAATAACTTACCGTCAATTCAAGGCACTGCCGTGCCAAGAATCGAAAGAATATTTCGTTATACCCATGAGAGTTGGTGCAGCTAGACAAATCGTCGTCGGGGCTGGCACCAACGGCAAGAAGTTTCAGCATTTGGTCCGTCCAACTGGAGTCCCCCGCTGCAGAGGCGATACGACACTCTTCTAATATGACGATGAAGGCGTCGTAGATACACGCCAGGCAGTGCGCCATCAGATTTCTGGTCGCAGTATTAGCAGCTGCTGTTTCTGTGGAGTCAGCCTCAAAGTCTTCGTCCATAACACTATCCTGATCATACTCCTCATTGCTGATTGTGCGGCTCAGCTCTACCGCGCGGTGGCATAACCACTTAACTGTCCGGCGTCCTTCACTCTTTGAGACTAGCAGTCTTTGGTTCCCACCTGTACTCGACACGACGTCGCACTCCAAGCTCGAAGAAGTCACAGCATCAGACTGTAAGTGCCGACCAAATACTTGCAGCAACTGCAGCTCAGACGACAGCGACAGTGGTGGATCCAAAAACCTTCTCCAGTGTCCCTCAAAAACCAGACAGCTCACACGAAAGTCCAAGCCGAATAACGAGGCCCGTGGGAGTTCTCCTTGCACTCGACGAAGCTGCCCACTAAACATTTCCTCGACGATTAAAACCTCCATCAGCAGCCATTCGAGCTCAGGTTTCCGCAATTCAGAACGTGAACTAGACGTGTCGCTGAGATGATCTAAGCGATCTTGAATATTACGCTTTTGCTGTGCTAAAATCTGCCCCAATTGGTCACGTAGCTTTAAGCAGATACGCAATCGAGTCGATATCCGCGAATACTGCACCATACACTCGTGTTTCGGCTTCGAGTTTGCGATCGTTAACGTGTACTGCTCAGCAGCAAAGTTTGTCGATGTCACTGCTATGTCTAGAGCACAGACAAGATTCCAGATAACGTTGTTCAAGGCTGAAGGCCCAACTGATCCACACGTTTCGACATCCAGTACCAGACTATAAGCCGAGGGAAACACAAACGCAGCATCCACGATTTCGGTTTGTTCGGCTGGAGGCGCAAACTCCAAATAACAATGGAAAAGTTCTCGGAGAAGGCAGATTTTCATCAGATAATCCTGTTCCGTCAGTCTCCTTGTTGTGTCACGCTCGTGAGTATTCATGGCTTCGAATGCAGGTGAAGGAGTGCCAAATCGCATTTTAATTACGAACTCAGTGGCATCCACAACCAGAGAAGTCGTCAGTTCTCCTTTATCAACACAGGGATCTTCATATGCTATGACAAAGTCATTGCCATCTTGTGTTTGTTGAAGTACCTGGTCGCGCGGTGTCCACGATAACCCCTTCTTCCGAAATACCTGAGAGATGGCGGAGGTTAACAAAGCGCGCTCTTGTTCCAACGCAGATACTTCGCGTGTCCGATTCATCTCGTCTCGTACAAAGCGCATTACATGCAACAGCGTCTCGTCACGATTCGCAGAAGTTAACAGACGCAACATCCAGTTCGCTAACGATTTCCGGTCTCGAGACTCCACAACAACTTGGTTTTTAAGCAAATGTCCAGTCAGGAAAACAGCCATGAGCTGCTTGATCTCAACTGCACTGGATCGACCGCGTTGAAGTCTAAATTGCTGGTCGTGAGCCAACGCTGAAGCTCCCGCCCGAGACACTAGTTGCTTTTGAATGGTGATCATGAGTAGGGAATATATTCCTCGCTCTTTCTTCGTCAGCAGCGCCATAGTCGAACAGAGAAGATCAAGGATATGTGACGGATATTTTCCATCAACTTCGGACTCTGTTGAAGCAGAAGCAATTCCATGTAGATGGTCGAGGAACAAGTGAGAGGATGATGCCAGTGCACCAGCATTCCTCCGCGCAAGCTCCGAAAACCGCAATGCAATCACCTCGGCGACATTCCAGCACAGAGCACTGCGAGTACGCTGCACAGAGTCAGCGTTACCAAGCAGCAGCAATTTCTTCGGTTGACTGGCAATAGTCAATAAGAGAATCAAGGCCTGTTTAAAAGCGGTAGCAAAGTTAGAGGTTATCACTTCACTTGAACAGCGTCTGTCTTACCTCTTCCTGCACACTGCTCTTGGTCTCGACAAGAACAATTAGAGAATCAACAGAGCTGGCAATCAGATTCAAAGCCATCGCTGGCTGGGTTGACGAACGAAAGCACACCGCGAGAAGGCAGCTGCAAAAGCGGACAAAGGACGGGAGTAAGTACTCCCACTCTGGTCTCACAAGCATCGCAGCAGTTTCACGCATCATCCGACCATGAACTCGACCACTTTGTGCTACAGACGTCGTTGTCCTTACAGCCAACTACAGTGCAAGCACACAACGTGAGCATTTAGTGAGATTTTCACGACCGACATCAAACTTACCTCATTCTCCGCAGATTTTCCCATGACAAACGTCAACAAAACAATATCGAACGTCGTCAATGGCTCGGCATGTTTGACCAAGCGAAGCAGCGCCGTGAGTGCCACAGATCCAGCAGTGGCAAAGCGTCCGATAACTTCCATCGTGAGCGACAGTGTCCCTGATTGGATGCGGTTGCACTCTGTTCGTAATCGAGCGAGCGCCTTGGGAGCCGACGACTTGGTAACCATCGACAATAAGCTCTGCACTACTGCAGGGATGTCCTCCTCCACCGCCGCATCCAGCAGCGACTGTGTCGCTTCCACGACTGCGTTCTTCTCGCTGTTATCCAGCGGCATCTCCGCCAATGATCCAAGCACAGGCACCAGCAATGATCGATCGGTGGCCAGCAGCTCCAAATAAGCCTGTACCACCAACTGTACGCACTCCTTCGACTGATATGTTAACTAAATAGACAACAATTTGTCAAAATGGTGACGGAATTCCTTGGCACTTTATCGATATGAAGCACAAACCTTGGGCAAGTGGTGGATTAGCAGTACGCGGTGGTCGCAGAATAGCAGAAGCGACAGGATCTCCTCCGTCAGCTCGCGTGTGGGCGCCACATAATTGCCCAAAAGCCGCAACAGCACGTTCACATCGTCACTCGAGTCGTCGGCGCCACTACGCAGTCGCTCAAGCACCAGATGCGCCGTCTCCACGCGTTGTAGGCTGCTCTCGGTGCGTAGTAGCCGACGACACATGTCCAGCGCCTGCGTCACGTCCCCATCGACTACCAGGTCGCGGTGTGCCTCCACCGACGCCATGGTGCACCTCTAATGGAGAATATTGAACTTAGGATTATGAATTTTAGGTTAGATAGATTTTGGCGCGGTGATTGTTTTATTCAAATTTGATTTTGTTTTTTCGCGCTCCATTCAGATTCTAAATTGGCGGCGCGTTTCAAAACCATCTCAAAACTATTTTTGCGCATCAGCCACACTTGGCTCACTTAAGCTCACCTCGGAGGAGTTGCCAGCACCAGTAGAACGTCTGCCACTTCGCAATCGCCAGGCTCAGCTCCAGTCCGACAATTCGCAGCCAACTGCCGCAATGGCTCAGGAGACGGAGCCCGTGGCTGCCTCTACAGTCGAGAAATCGACACTCGAGTCGCCGAGCCCCAAGCGCCGTAACCGGAAGAAAGGCCGGCGAACAGCCACTGGAGACGACGACGGTGACGAGCACGAGACGGCAGCTGCAGTGTCTCCCATGGGCGACGTGGCCACCGGCGACCTCATCTCGTTGCCGTCACCTGTAGCAACAGTGACAACCAGCACCGACGTGTTCGCGGCGTTCGATGTGGAACAAGCGATGGACGAGTTGACACTAAGTCAACCGGCGCCGGTGGCCACAGAAACGAAGAAGGAGGACGGATTGCTTAAGTTGCCGGCGTTCCCGTCCAGTGGACGCATACCACGGACGCCGCCGTCGTCGCCTGAGCATTTCCTGGTGCATTCTCCTGAGAAGGAGCAGCCAAGAGTGGCGCCCATGGCCACAGACGTCCACCACCAGCCGACAGTTGTCAAGACCCCAGCGAGCGTTGAAGTGCCGAGTGCTTCACCCACAGAGCAGCTACTTGAAGTGGAACAGGCTGTCAGTGCAGAGCAGGAGAAAGAAGCAACGCGAGTCGATGAGCCAACACCTTGGGATGCAGATGAAGATGCTGCTACGATCGAGATGACGGAGGAGGATGAACAGATTCTGGACGGTGCTGTCGAGGAGGCATGGATGCTGACCAGCACTCTAGCTGAGATGAGTCTCACCAACGGAAGTGTGCCAGACAGCGAGTTGACGGAGCCTGAAATGCCAGTCGAGAAGGCAGCCAACGTAACAGTAGCAGAGGTGGCTGGCGAGCAACAACAATTACCCGTCGCAGATGATAACGTGGAGGTTGCAGCGGCTGACGATCACACCGTTTCAATTACAAATGCGTCAACTAAGAAGACCTCTGTTGACGCACTGGTCCATGAAACGATCGAGCAAACGGAGACTCCCATGGAGACTAAACCAATTCCTATCAAGACTCAGGCTGCAACTGAACCTGCTCCAACGGTGATATCGCAGCCTACTGATCCAGCCCCTGTGAAGGCTCCAAATGCATTCCAGCCGATTCAACCAGTGACCACAAAAGCCAAAGAGACGAAGACGCAAGAATCGTCTTCCCGCCGCAACAAAAGAAAGGGGGATTCTTCAGAGCCAAATCTCGACAACACTCCATCTACAACGTCGAGGATCTTTACCAATGGCCACCCGGACAAACCTGCTCATTCTTCAACACCAAATATTGGCAACTCGAAGCAAATGACAGCGAAGACCTCAATAGTGCAACCACAGCCGCGCCCAGCCAAGCGAAAGGGTGAATCGTCCGACGTCAAGCCTCCGTCTGCACCTTCCACAGCAATCGCGAGTGAAATTCGTCCCAAACGCATGATAACTCGACCAAACTCGGTATCCACAGTAAACAAAGCGAAAACCGGCCCCGATGCAAAATCGCAGCCTGCAGTGACAGCGCGTTCTGCGCAGGATTCTAAAAAGGATTCCATGATGCATCCTACAGCGAGCAGCATGGCGCGAGCAACCGCAGCTGAGGCCCGCAAGACCCTGTTGAGGAATGCTGCAGCTAGAAAGACCCCAACACGCAAGCCGATGAGGACCAAGGTTGGAGCAAAGTCAGCGGCCCATGCGCCTAGTGTCCCAACAGCTCAAGACAAAGCTGTCCTTGCTCCTCCAGCTCCAGTTATGGTTGATGACACCGATGACAGCGTGCGCAACGTAAAGCGGCGACTCAACGCTAGTGAAGCTGAAGCTGCGGCCAATCGCTTGTATGAGAACGCTAAGGAGGCCAAGGCTCGAAAGGAAGCTCGGCGTGTAGAGTTGCAGGAGAACTACTCGTTTGCTCCTCAAGTCAACAATTCCAAGCGACGTATAAATTCTGGGGAAGCGGACGAGCCAAATCAAGATCGATTCAGTCGTTTGCATGCTCAAGCCAAGGAGCTGCTAGAGAGGAAGCGTGAGCTCCAGCAACAACATGAACGGGAAGGATGCACCTTTGCTCCTTCCATTTCTGCTCGAGCCAAACGTTTGGCTCAACCAAGCTCGGGACCGCGGTACGAAAACCTCTACAAGCACGCCCAAGAAATGAAGCAGAAACGCGAGGAAAAGCTCTTGGAGCAGGCCAAAACCACGGAGGAACAATGTCCTTTCAAGCCGAAGATCATAGCTGCCAGGTCGCAGAAGGCGCCAGGGAAGCCCAAGCCTCTCTACGACTCTGAGCGTGAAAAGCAAAAGCGGCTAGCACTAGAGCAAAAGAAGATTGAAGCTGAAATGAGCCAATGCACTTTCAAGCCAAAAGTGTCAGCAAAGCGTCTCAAGTCCAAGGCAGAGGGCTCAGCGGATAGCACGACCGAGGCAGCCACGAATGCTAACCCTTACAATCGCCTCTATCAAGGAAGTATTAATCGGACAGAGCGACTACAAAAGCTTCGCCAAGAGCGAGATGAAGAAGAGAAGGCCCAGGCACCATTCCAACCCAAGATCACTGCGAGATCTCGAATGCTCAAGGATAAAGCAAAGACAAAAGAGCCTTTTCACAAGAGGCTTTACAACAAGGACTACCTGAAGAAACTGGACGCCGAGCGGGAGCAACGTCGTCTCGAAGAGGAACAGCAGTTCACGTTCAAGGTAAGATGGCTGGTCTGATCACGGAGATGTTCTCGTTTAATGGTTATGTTTGTTCGATGTGCAGCCAGAGCTGAATGAGCCGCCAGAAGAGATCAAGGCCAAAGTTAATGAGCGAGCTAGTCCTCAGAAGAACATTTTCGAGGTTCGTCAAATTTAAAATGCACGTTGTACACAACTTTTGTTGTGTTGCTTACGTTTTGCATCAATGTTTTTTATTGTCTGCAGCGCTTGTACGACGAGAAAGATAGGGTGAAGGAGAAGATTGAAATGGGCGAGGAGCTGAGGCTTCAAAAGGAGATGGCTGAGTGCACTTTCCGACCTCAGATCGAAGTCGATTCCCTGCCTTCTACTGGTGAGCCAACCCCTCCCGTCTGGGAGAGACTGCTGAGCTACGACAAGGCTCAAGTGATTGAGGAACGCGAAAAGCTGAAGGAGCAGCTGGAGATGCAGGAGTGCACCTTCAAGCCTGAGGTCAAGTCGAATGATGCGATCACGATGAAGACGAGTCCATCGCACAATGTCTTTGACCGACTCACTGGTAGCGGCAGCTCGCCGTTGGACCCAACACGAGCAGCTTTTATCACGAGACGCCCAAGCAACTCTCCTGGACGTCAGAGCCCCGACGTAAGTTTTCAAACCGAGGATTCAACGTAATGCACTCGAGGAATTCTGACATCGTGGCGCATTAACCACAGATCAAAGGTGTTTCAATTGGACGAATCATTAAGTTAACGAAGTTCTCTTTACCTACCGAGAGAAAGAAGCTGAACAGAACACACTCGATCAGCCAACCTTCCAGTGTGAACAAGCCATCGATGAAGAGATCCACGTCATTTTCCGGTCCCAAGTCTGCAGCTTCGTCGCCAACAGCGGATAGTGAACCTGTCATTGCTGGAAGAGATGCCCAGACCGAAAACTACCAGTCGTGGTCGGCGGAGTTGGATGCGAAGCTGCGTCATCTATAAGCAGGGACTCCTTTGCTTTGAAGTATTTTATTTTATCGCTGACAGAAGTATAAAAGTTAACCAAGTGAGATGCACAGCAAGAAGTATCAGCATAGTCGTTTTTTTCTTTAAATGTAACGTCCGTGAATTCGTAGCTGTTCAAACATTGGGGCCTAAAAGCAAGGGGCCCTGGTGGCGATAGTGTTCGGGATCATATACCCGCTCAAGAGCCTGAATCAAATGAATGATTTCATCGGCCCAAGCGTGGAGGCATCGACGATCTAGAAACGATGCAAAACGGCTTTGGTTCCCTGTGAACTCCGCGCGAGGATCGCACTGTCCGAAGTTGACCTGCATCAGCCACGTTACACTGCACGAACCTTCCCATGGAGTTGGGGTAATCAACCAGCCACCGAGAATGCAGTCCACACGGGTGCCTTGGTTTGAACCGACTACTCGAGGGTCCTCCCAAGCTGCTGCGTCGGCTGGTATCATAACGATAGCGATAGTTCCGCTCTCGTCCACTCTGTACATACACGCCACAATAATTAGTGTTGAAGTGATCAATAGCAAAGAAAACACACACACCTCCACGTCTTCCGGGAAATCATTTGCAGCTTGCCGCGACCCCAACTGCTATCCTTAAAAATTGTTCGAACCGTCCACGTGTATTCACTTTCGCGACTGAATACCTCTTCACTCTCAACAAACGGGGCCCACGATACCCCTGGCATTTCATCGTCAACGCTTCGATTCATGACCATGTCAAATACCGCACGAGCTGGGAAATGGCAAGTCGTGACTCGCTTGATCATGTGGAAACCGTCAGCCACTTTCTCGAACACTGTGTCACATGGTCCCGGTTTGCGATTCACCGCCCATCCGCTGTATTGACGAGCGTGTTTCTTGAGCTCGTAAAGCGCTGCAGTGAGGCTTCTGTCCTTTGACGGAGCTGCAGCTGCAAGCGCTGGTGGGAGGTTGAGGAACAAACGCAGCAAATACCACTGGGCAATAGTACCTTGGGCTTCTCCTCCTAGCACCATCTTCTCGAGCGTGCAGTGAAGGAATTCCTCTAGACCACTTCTACGACGGTGGAGAAACCCGTCAGTAAGTGTATTTTGACGTCGTAGAGTGCAGTATGTCTTAGGTGGAAACATATTCCACAGTCCAGAAGTCGGGAACATCGCACACACCTGCAGTGCGAACACGTAAAATTCCCGGAATCTCCGCTCGACAGTGATCTCGGCATTTGTGAGTGAAGGTACATGCGTAGCAAGCGAGTAAACAGCAACTTGGTCGGCAGTGATACGCACATCACGCACGTTGCATTGGAGCAATGCGTTGTGTCCTGGAGATCCGAGACTATGGCGACGCGGCTGGTCTACGGTTGGAAGCTTCATTGCAGGAGGTGGAAATGATACCGACGGGGGAAATGGAGCTCGAGTTTCCGACACAGATACAGAGCGCTGAAGCTCAGCATCCTGTTGTTTATCACTGATTTCCAGAGTTTGGGCAGAGTTGTCAATGGCAGTGTTCGCTTCGACAATTGATTTGGCTGGAGATTTTTCCAGCACTGCACCCAGCAACGAGGTCGCTTTGGCAGCAGTTCTTAGGAGCATGAGCTTGGTTGGAGATGGCGGGGCAGTTGAGCAGTCATGCTCTTCGCTTTCCTCGACGGACAACCGCGCACGGCAGTCGCGACAGATAACAGTCGGGCCTACTCTTGATGCTTGGTCACTCGTCGGCAGTCCGGCCTCCATTCTTGAAAATATGCTAATATATCTCTATGACGGTTAGAACGCTGAGCTCTTCCAGTCAGAAACCACAAATAGAATCGCATGTCAGACAATTCTTTTTATACTTAAATTTGACGAATACTTGTTCATAACCTTGATGTGGATCGTCGACCTGCACGCGGTTGGCGAGGAACTGGGGGCTTTTTTTCTTTGTTCAATCGACCGGTGGTCGAAGATCTTTTAGGTTGCTCCAATTGCTTCTCGAACAAAGTAGTCGTTCCTCTTGATGATCTTGTTGACTTCCTCATCAAGACCTTTTTCGAACCACGACGAGCACACTTTACGTCGTTAGTAGAAGATTCTAAGACGGAGGAGCCCATCAATAGTGTAGTAGCTGCAGATGGAGGGTCTTTTGTTGCGCGAGGAAGTAGCTTTTGCGTGGGAGGTTGCACTTTCAACCTGCGCGGGTTCGTAACACCACTCGAGGTAGTTGATCTCCCAGTGAGACTTCGTGTACTTGAACCGTTAAGGTCGATAGTCGAGCCTGCTTGCCACGTTTGAGGTCGTCTTGGCTGTTGGAATAACTTAGCAGGTTCGCGGGTTGAATTTACTGGCGCTCTTGGTTTTTCGATCTTACGATCCGTTGAAATACACAAAGAACCGAGCCCACGAGAAGTTTGACTACTTCGTCCTCGATAAGAGTTCTTCCTGGCAGTCACCCCTACGTGTGTCTGCGGAGGGCGAGGTCGAGATCTGCCTGTTGCGGAGTTTCGGGTGGGTAGATTGGGGGCGGTATGTCTTTTCGTGCCAGAGCGGAATGTCAAAGACGCCTGTGCCGCCCCACGATTTCGAGCAATGAAATCTTCAATCAATTCTACCCCTTCTTCATCGTCACGCTGGGTCAAAAACGTAGATCCTCCGATTTTTCGAATTCCGTCACATTTTGTACGGTCCGATCCGCTTTGGAACTTTTTCTTCAACGCTTCTTTTCGTGCATCCAGCGAGCGAGATCCCTGTGCCGTTTTACTTTTTCTCTTGGTAAAACCGTTGGTCATTGAACCATGAACACCCACGGAGGGATTGGTAATCGTTCGTCGCTTATGGAGGAGAGGGTCTTGTTGCTTGACAATTTTTCGCTTTGCCGTCGCTTGAGTTGGTACTGGTATTTCACAGTCACCAATACGCTGGTCAATGCCATCAAGAAGAGTTCCCGGCGTCTTTACTTTCTTTGTGAAAGCGCTGCGCCTGCAACTGACAGCTATGGCGGCTGAGATTGGACTCAACGGGGCGCGATTAGTAAGTGCGGCCTCACGCTTTTCCCGCTGTTTTGGCGATAAAGCTTGTAGTGTTGAAGAATGCCCAGAAATTGGATTCGCAAGGCGATTGATGGTTTCACGGCGTGCCTTTCGCACGATTGGTGCTGTGCCATAAGTGCTCTTCATGTGTGCGAGGCGGGAGATTACACGGTCAACTCTCGATGCTTTCACAGGTTCCTTTAAAACGACGTCATTTCTCTGCTTTGCTTCACAAATTCGTTCGTTTTCGAGTATAGAATAATTTTCTGTTGGCTTTGCCGAACAAGCAGGAGCTTTCGACTCCCTGAATGTTAGTGTTGAAACCATCGCCAATCCGGGATAGAAACTGGGTATGTCTGGGCGCGGTGTGTGCAGCACGGCGTTTAAATCTAGCTTTTCAAGAAATCGTAGCGTTTCATGCTCACGTTTGTCATTGTTGTTGGATCTCTGGTTGCTGCTAGTGAATTCCAAACTGCTGCAGAGTTTATGATCCCAGGGCAAGACCTGAGCTGCTGTCGACACAGTATTGTCTCCGTTTGGCATGTCATCAGTCACTTGCTCCAGCTCTGACCCTCGCAGAGATGTCCTCCGTGAATCATTATTATCGTCGTCGTCGTCATCATCAGGGCGAGCATTCACCAGCTCTTCTAGTTTTAAACGAGGGATGAACGGAGGTGCTAGCCCAAGTTGTGCTGGTGCAAGTTTCACGGGAACGAGGTGTTGCCTTAGGTTCGAATTTCCAGTCGATGAAGGTGTTCGCTGCGCGCCAGGCTTCTGTGGTATAAAAAACAATGCCTTGTATCCGATAGGAGCTCTATCATCAGCCGTAGCTTCATTCTCTCCTGCAAAGAGATCACGAAATATTTCTTCATCTTCTTCTTTAGCCCGCGCAGAACGGGGTCCAGAAGTAGCCGAGGGCGGACAACTGGCATGGTTGACAGTGCGAGTGGAGAACTCTGAAAACGAATCCACTGAATAGCTCGGAGCAACAGGTCGCACGGGTGAAGGCGACGCTAATGGCAGTTGAGCCACCAAGCTGCCCGTCATTTTCTCGAGTTGGCAAGCAGGGTCTTCGGCTATTCCCTTTTATTTTTACCTCCCGTCGTTATTTATTCCAGTGCCTTGCCAAATAGTTTTCGTCAACGGTCACCAAGGGTAAGATACGTGAATTGATTTCGTCGATCATCAAACATGGCACCACCTCCTCCGCCGAGAGCTCCGCCGCCGCTCAGACCGAAGGTGCCCCCGCCTCCACAAGCCAAACCTGTAGCAGCTCCTAGTGATACCAACTCCAATGTGATCCCAACACAACAACAGGCTCCACCTCCTCCAAGAAATCCGCCACCTCCGAAAAATCCGCCACCTCCGAGAAATGCTCCCCCTCCGAGTCGTCCACCAAGTCGTCCGCCTCCGCCAGTTCCATCTCCTCCAACAGGTCCACCTGGACCACCACAGGGCCCACCACCTTCAACAGGCCCATCTGGACCACCGAAGGGCCCACTGCCTTCAACAGGCCCACCTGGACCACCGAAGGGTCCACCGCCTTCAACCGGTCCACGTGGACAGCCAAGCGTCCCACGTGGAGCTCCACCTGGTCCACCCAAAGACGCACCACCGCAGCCGCCGAAAAGTGCACCGCCCCCACTACCAGTTCAAACTGAACCTGAAAAAGATGTCGCGGCTGAAGCTGCTGCCAGTCTTGCCGCCATCCAGAAGCTTTTGCGCCGCGGACGCCTCAGTTTCACGTTGTTGGAAGCACGTGAGCTTCGACGCAAAGGCGGATCGGTGGACGCAAAGCGATTTAGTGCCGACGCGTTCGTGAAAATCGCAGTAGGCACAAACCCCTTGTCCGCTCTGGAAAAGCGCAGCAAGACACTCAAGAAGAGCGGAACACCGGTGATTTTCCACGAAGAAATCGTAGCATTCGACCTCACAGATCCCGTGGCAATTGTGACCGATGGAGATCTACCGATCAAGATCGAGATCTTCGATGAGAACCTGCTGTCCGATGAATTGCTAGGAGAAGTCAAGTTCTCGGCACTGCGCTTCTTCGACGGTCAACCACATCGAGAAGTTTTTCCTCTGTCGTTGACGTCTGTGCCCGGTGCTTCTTGTGGTGAGATTGAGGTCGAAATCAAGCTGGAAGAAGCACTGGTCGGAATGCTGTCTATCGTATTGATGGAAGGTCGAAACCTTAAGAGCATGGAGCTCATTGGGAAGCAAGACCCGTATTGTCAGCTCTCTATAGGCAAGTTCACCAAGCGGGGTAAAACCATCGAGCGTGGCGGCCGGAACCCGTACTTTGGAGAGGAGGAGCTCCTCTTCTGGTTCGGAGACGATCTCTGGACGCAGCAAATGGCACTGCGCGTGTTTGACGAAGATATCGGCAGTGACGATCTCATCGGTGACGCGAAGTTCTCTGTGCTGCATTTCATGGCACACCGCGGAGCCCAAGAGCACGCTATACAGCTGCGTAATAAGGGAAGTCCAGCCGGGGAAGTCTTAATAAGGATTGAGTTCTTCCCAGCAGGTCTACTGACAGTGACCTGTCATGCTGCCAAGCAGCTACGCAGTGTGGACGCCATTGGACGACAAGATCCGTATGTCAAACTCACGCTGGATGGCCGAGCAACGCAAATGGTCAGGAAGACAAAGACCGACACGGACGGTGGTAGTGAGCCTGAATGGGAAGGCGAGGTCTTCCGCTTCGACGTAGTGGACCAGTATAACTTGCAGGTGGAGGTCTGGGACGAAGACTCTGTCGGTGCTGACGACCTCATTGGTGCGGCGTCGCTTTCTCTGCTGCCAATCTTCCGCTATGGTTATGCTGACGACTGGCTTAAGCTCTGGGTCAAAGGCCGATTCGGGAACAAAGATCCTGCTGGCATGTTGCGTCTCGAGATGAGCTTTGAAGGGCCTGCAGGCGTGGCCTATCCACAGCACCAGGTCGGTATGGATCGCTTCACTGAGAAGGAACGTCGAACCAAAGAGACAGCAGGGATGATCCCATCGGCATCGGAACCTGACGGTGGACAGGATGCAGCGATAGCTGCCAAGGCACATGCTCTCACCAGACCAGCAAAGCGCGTCGTTGACAATACCAGCGAGTTTTCGGAAGAAGAACTCTTGGGCGCATTCCGGTTCATGGATATCGATAAGAACTCCTTCATCGGGGCAGCGGAACTCCGTCATCTTCTTATCTGCATGGGTGAACTCATCACCGATGCTGAAGTGGATGAAATGGTGCGGCTTTGCGATACGGACGGGGACGGACAGGTGAGCTTCGACGAGTTCCGGCGAATGGCGATACATCCCGACCCAGGCGGGCCAGAGTTTGCTATGGCAATGACCAAGGACGAGCCTGAGCAACCGGAGCCAGTCAGTGGTCCAGATTTTACAGTTGAAGACAAGCAGCGGCAGCAGGAAATCAAGCAGGAGAAGTCCAAACTCATGCGTCGATTTGTCCAGGACACCCATCCGAGCCTCGAGATGCTGGAACGAGTGGCCAAAAAATTCCGTCAAATGCAACACGATGTTCTGGACTTTGAGGACTTCTGCTCGCTGTTCGAGGTAGAACCCACGGGCGAGTATCGCCGCCTCTTTGCTTTGTTTACCCCGGACAATCAAAGCGACTCTGGTGCAGACTTGCGCGAGATACTTCTCGCTGCGGTGAATTTTGTCAGTGGCGTTGATCGCACGCAACGCGTACGCTTCTGCTTCGAAATCTTCGACGATGACCGCAATGGTTTCATCACAGAAGACGAACTTGTCAACATCCTTCGCGCGAATTATCTCGCCACGACGGATGATCAAGTGCGCAAAAAAGCTCAAACGATACTGCGCCAAGCTGACGATGACGGTGATGGTCGAGTGAGCTTGGACGAGTTCCACGCCATCTCTCGCAAGTTTCCGAATCTTCTTTTCCCGCCTCATGACGCAAGTGGCAAATAGTAGAGACCGTAAGTTCCAGACCTGATCACTATAATTATCCGAAAAACGCTAAATGCACTCGGGGTTAACAATGATCAGCCAGTCAACGCTTCGCTTGGTTCTGGGCACTGAGACGCAGTCGCCCGTCACCACATGCGGTCTCTCGATGCGCCTCTCGTTGAAGTGACTGTTGATTCACTGGAGCGACACGATGTTACCGGTATCCCGAGCAATAGCAATAATGGTGGCAACCACCACCATGTTGGTCTTGGAGAGGTCAGTAAATCACCACTCGACGCCGGTCTCTTCTCTTCTAACACTCGATTAATGATCATCACTGGTGCAGACAAAGCATTTGATGGAGCGGCTGAACACTGCGCAAGTGAAAGTGAAGAGACTGCAACGTCTCGAAGCCGCACTTGTGGACTTTTTCATGGAGATCATGGATCGAAGCGAGAACAATGCGAATGATAAAGCTATGCGCTTCAACGACAGCGAGTCCTCTTTTGCACGAGGCAAGCGCAAAGAGCAGTTCCTCAAGAAGGCCGAGGGTGACCCCATTTCGTTGCTGAACGCGTTGCGAACGCACTTACGTTTGCGGTTTGCAGAACAGGAGGCCCAGCAAGCTGCGACCACGCGTCGGGTTCACGCAGAAGACCTGGCCAACCAGCAGAAGGAACAGAATGCTCGAGATAAGCTTCAGCAGCTTGAACTCACGTGCCAACAACTGAAAGAACAGCAGAATTCTCTGATCCAACAGCTGAACCAACACGAAGTTGATCAAACACGAACGCGACGCCAGCACCAAATGATACTTGAAAAACTGAACGCTCAAGTTCAGGAGGGACGATCACGAGAACAGGCAGCAAAGTTGCTCGTGGCCAAACAACAGCAAGAGATCGCAACACTCAAAGAGGCTCGAGAAGCCCTGATCATCCAAAAGACTCTTGAAGGTACCCGAACAACGACGGATGCGAACAGTAGCAATTCAGCTACAACGGCAGCACCAGCAGGCTTCGGGACGTCGCCATCTCACACGAAAGGGGATTTTTTCGGGACGCCGGCAGAAAATCAAACGCTTCGACGTGCGCTTCGCAAGTATGAAGTCAAAATGGCGCAGACGGAGGCAACGAACGAAGAGCGCAAGCGCGAAGTGCAGCGGTTGCAGCAGCAGCTCACAGGCTTGCGTCAAAGCACACAGTTGCAAACGTACTCGCGACTCGAAAAGGAAACGCGTCACTTGCGCGAACTGGCGGACGATCTCAAGAAGCGACTAGCGGAGAGTGAGGCTGACGCGTTGAGAACGAAAGGAGCTTTTAAAGAGCGCGAGATCCAAGTGCAGAAGATGAAGGACGAGTACGCACGGCTGTTTAATGCTCTTCAAAAGCAAAAACAGCCAGCGCATTACTCTCCACCCAAGCTCACACGAAGTGCGAGCTCAGCACAACTCTCGGCAGCACAGCAAAACCATTCTCCACGGCTACCGCCACGGTTACCTGCTGGAATTACCGAAGCGGTTGACAATGCTGTGTCAGCGACACCAGCACACGGTGAACACCCGTACGTTGTAGAGTATTACCGCTCCGAAGCTGCACGCGTGGAGCGCGAGTCTGAAGCGCTGAAATTACGGATTCGACACATGATGGCATCCGAGCAACTGCACAAGCAGAAAACGCGGGTCTTGCGGACGGAAAAGCAGAATCTCATGCGGGAGCGCGATCAGCTGCGTGCTGACTTGGACCGAGCGAAGAAGCACAACACGCTGCAGAGTATTGCGATGAATAGACAACGACCACATTCCTCGGCCGAGACTCGGAAAGTAGCGTTTACCACTGCACCACAAGAGATGAAAAAGCTGCAGGACCGCAACGCTTTTCTCGAGGAACGCTTTCGCAAGTCACTCCAGAGCAACGCAGCACTTACCACAATCGGCGTTGTAGCCCGGTTACGGAACTCCATATCAGTTCCGTGCGAGTTAGAAGATCCGGGCCCTTTAGCGATTCCAGAGAACGAAAACGACGCTGGTGTTGCTGATGCTGCTTTAGACGAAGCACAGATCACGAGACATAATCCAGCATCTAAAATCCGTCCCGCGTCAGCTCAAGCCACCACCGTCAATAAAAACAGTGGGGGTTCGTTCCGGTCATTGGATGCTGCAACACTGCGGTCACTGCAACGTGTGACGCGGGCTACTCGAGTACGTCCTCAATCCGCCAATTCAATCAAAATCAAGTAATTCGTCGAGAAGGAATCTTGTAGCAGGATACGCTTGCAAAACGATCCGTTATTTTTGGTATGTTGGCGAGCAAGTTTCTTGTTCATGTTGAAAACATCTATTCCAGCAAGCAGCTCTTCAGTTGACCCCACAACATGGATGACTTTGACGGACTGAATGGTCCGAAGCACGAGCGTGTTGCAAAAGCACTTGAGCAAGTCAACGGACTCCGATATCGTAAGGAGCCTGAATGTTGTCATGTCCTCGATGGATAGTTTTACGTCACAGTTCTTCTGTTTCATTGTCAGGGTACCATGCCGCCCCACAGGATGGCAAGAAGATGCTGCGCTTCGATTCTGACGACGACGAAGGTTTGAGTGACGGCGAGGATGCCGAAGATTCGAGTGATGAGCTCCAGGGCCGACAACGGCGAAAGTCTAGTAAGGAAAAGGCCAAGCGCCAAGATAGCGCCTCGAAGTCCTCAAGGCTGACGCTGGATGACCACATCGAGAATATGTTGCGAAAGACACGTACGTTGGCGATGCTGAAGATCGCCAATAACACAGCCGGCACAATCCCGTCCGACAGCGATGATGATAGTGACGAAACCGACGACGTTGTGTCTGAAGAGCTGAAAATCGGCAGTCTCTCTTCCATGGGGTCATCGAAGCGCGTGGCCTCATATAAAAAACTCTCCAGTCTCGGTAGCATTTCAAGCGCGGATGGGCAGCAATCCAGTCTTCTTGGAACGGCAGCAATGAGGCTGGCGCGTACTCTCAGCGCTTTTCTTTGCTTGCCTCGTGCTATTAGCTATGTTGACTTGGAAGCGGTGAGTACTCTTACCCGTTGCTGTCATCGATGGAGCTTGAACTCATATATCCACTCACAGATTACAGAGAAATTGCTGGAGTCGTCAAACGATCACTTTGACGATGGCGAATACGCAGATCTCATTGATTGTCACGTGGACTCCGCTCGAGAGGATGATACTCACACCAAGAACGACGAAGACCTCCCTATCTGGAAACGGCGCCATTCAGTACGCTTTGAATCTCCACTTTGTTCATATGCAGGTAAATCTGACGCCGTATTTGCGTGATAAAAAGCGACCCATTCGACCGCTGGACCTTCCAGAAGACCAGACTGACTTGGAACTAGTGAGTCTCCATGTCTTTGCATTTTGCAACCCCGTCACTAATACTCCACATTCGTTTCCCCCTTTGCAGCATCAACGTCAGATTTTCATGGAGGCCAATCGCTTCGGGGGTGTTTCCTCACGTGTAAGTGCGTAGCTTCTCAACATTTACTAGTGCAGCACTCACTGACGCTGCAATTTCACTCCAGAACTTCTTCCTTGCGTCTAGCAAGCATCTCCTGTCAAGAGATGACTCCAAAGGCAGCATGTATTTCGGTGTAAGTCCCAGTGGACGGTTGCTCGGATCGTCCACAAATGGTTCCAGCATGAATTTGAACTTCGGAAGTGTCTCCACACTTACACCCAAATACAGCAGCAACGAGATTCCTACGTGTCCGTTCAACGAAGAGGAATACATCCAGTGGCGTACGCAGGTAAAAGACGACTACTTGGCATGGGTGAACGCCAAGGTCGAAGCCCAGAAGCGTCGCAAGTCCCGTGTGAAGAAAGTGGACCCCAACAGGAAGCCACGCTGGTTGCTCCTGTACGAGGCCAGCCAGAACCCGACTCAAAAATACCGCCCGGACGAGAAGGTTTAGCTATTTAACTAACCCGTTTGCTGCATTCCGATTTGATTCATTTCTTTGCAGCTGATGTAGCCGCTTCTTCCATCTCCACTGCTGCCTGTCCCTCCAGCTTGGCTCTTTCCAGCGCGTACTTCGCCATGGCATGAGGCATGGCCGACCCAAAACCATAGAGGAACACCCCGATAAAGCCCAGCATCAGCAGCTTATTGCGCACTTTGCGTGCACTCGCCCGAGGATCAATCGCATCTACTACAGACGACGACGTCCTCTTCAGCCGTTCCCTCCGACATAGAGGATCGGACGCGATCCTGAGCAGCGCTTGTGGCCTCCGTGGCGCTCTGCTGTGCGCGCTTCTTCAGGTCGTCGACTGTGTCACTCGCCGAGCGTTGTAGCAACCTGGCGTTCTCACGCAGCTGGCGCGTGGCGTGCTCCTGGTTGCTGCGCAGGTTCTGCAGCATGGTATTGCCAATGCCGCGGGCCTTTGTGGTCGCCGCTGCGCGTGCTTCCTCAGCTTTATGCTTGACCGCATTTTGCACATCCTCGGCTTTGTGTCTGGCAGCGTCTTTGACTTCTACCGCCTTTCGCTGCAGGCGGCGCTTGGTCTCGTCGGCTGCGTCAGACGCCACCTGCTGAGCCCGCACTCCAGCGTCGCTCGCTGCTCGACGGAGCTCCTTCTCGCCACTCTGAGGCTCCATACAGAGATACTGTCAAAAACTCTAGTCATGGAGCATGCCCGATCGGAAGGCGCACCTTGAGCTTGTCCTGCATAGCGCTGGACGCGTCGTCAACGAGCCGCCGCAGCTTGTCCATTCTTTCCCACTTGTGATTGCGTGTGTGGAACACCCAACAAAACAGGAGTGATGGTCTTCTCGGTAAAGTACGGGTATCAGCTTGCCCCAGCCAGTCCATTTCCCCTTTGACCTCGGCCTCAGGATCTGCTGACGCTACGGCAGTCCCGTTCTTCAAGCTCGAGTTCTTAGCAGGCCTCTCCTCTCTTTAAAGTACCATGTTCAGCGGATTCGGTGGAGGCAGCTCCAAGCGCAGCGCCCCCGCGCCAGAAGCGGCTGAGCCGGCGCAGAATACGCTTTCACAACCCAAGGGCAACGGTGGCGGCGGTGCGAACGGCTACTCGTTCGACCCATCGGGTCTGGAACGCGCCGCTAAGGCCGCTCGCGAGCTCGAGAACTCGCGTCATGCCAAGGAGGCTTTCAACCTAGCCAAGGAGACGGAGCGCACCAAGCAGATGGAGAACCAGGCCAAAATTAAGGAAAACGAGGCGCTTTACAAGCAGTACGAGATCGTGCGGGTGCAGAAGGAGGGTGAGGAGCGCCGCAAGACGCTCGAGGAGGAGACGCGCCAGCACCAGCAGCGCGCACAGTACCAGGACCAGCTTAAGCGCAAGCAATACGCTGACCAGCTGGCCGCTCAGAAGTACATGAAGGAGCAGGAGCTTAAGAAGCAGGAGGAAATTCTGGCCCGCCAGGAGGCTTCGCGCCGTAAGACGCTCGACTACGAGGCGGAGCTGCGTCAGAAGACTGAGCTTGCTAAGGTTGCGGCTGAGACTGAGGGGCGCATCAAGCAGGAACGTCTCAACCACGACCTGCACCTCGAGGAGGCTCGTGTGCGTGCCAAGGAGTACCGCGAGACTGTCATGGAGGGTATTAAGCTGGCCGGTAACACTGTCGGCTCCGGTATCATGACCTTTGTGGACGACAAGGAGAAGCTCACGACCACTGTGGTCTCTCTGACGGCTCTGGCGATCGGTATCTACACCGCAAAGGTGTCCACCAGCGTTGCGGGCAAGTATATTGAGGCTCGTATGGGAAAGCCGTCGCTAGTGCGTGAGACGTCGCGTCGCTCAGTTACGCAAGTGTTGGCCAACCCCATCCCGTCCATCAAGCGCGCTCTGCGTCTACAGAAGGCGACGGATGCCCTGGAGGGCGTCGTGCTGGAGCCCAAGCTGGACGAGCGTCTGCGCAGCGTGGCTGTGTCCACGTTCAACACGAAGAAGAACCGTGCGCCGTTCCGCCACTTGCTACTGCACGGCCCGCCCGGTACGGGTAAGACTCTGTTCGCCAAGGCACTTGCTCGCCACTCCGGCCTCGAGTACGCTATCCTGACAGGTGGTGACGTCGCCCCACTGGGTCGTGAGGGTGTGACGGAGATTCACAAGCTGTTTGACTGGGCGTCCCACAGCCGTCGCGGTCTGCTGCTCTTTGTCGATGAGGCCGATGCGTTCCTGCAGAAGCGTAGCAACACCGTCATGAGCGAGGACATGCGTAACGCACTGAACGCCTTCCTGTACCGCACGGGTGAGGCCAGCGACAAGTTCATGATCGTGTTCGCCAGTAACCAGCCAGAGCAGTTCGACTGGGCCATCAACGATCGTATCGATGAGATGGTGGAGTTCCGCCTGCCTGGATTCGACGAGCGTGTGCGCATGCTAAAGCAGTACTTTGACGACTACATTCGTGCGCCGAAGAACTCGCGTGCCAAGAAGATCTACGTGGAGGGTATTGAGGACTCGGACTTCGACGACCTGGCCGCGCGTATCGAGGGTTTCTCCGGCCGTGAGCTGTCGAAGCTCGTGATTGCCTTCCAGGCTGCTGCGTACGGCTCGCCGACGTCGGTCTTTGACAAGGAGATGATGATGCAGGTTCTTGAACACCACCTGACGGCTCACAAGCAGAAGGAGGCGTGGAAAGAATACGTCGGCCCCAGCGAGAAGCGCGACAACATCAAGGCAATCTTGAAGGACTAGGCGCTGGCACAACGCGGATCGTGCTTCCTTGGGATCGACCTACTACGTTCCTGGTGCACGATCAACCGAGCGACTACGTCCGATATACATCGACTCGATAGACTAGACTGTTAGATTAGTTCCTAATTCGTGGGCGCTACTCAGTTCCAGTTGCCAAGGCTGCTCTGCTGGGCTTCATCTGCGTCTCCTGCTTGGCGATAGCGGCGGGAGAAAGAAGCAGAACGAATGAAGGAAATGAGGGAGGGAGATGGAGAGGGCCTCTGTATTTGAACATGGTATCGTACCTTTGATTTTTGTTGGTCATGTTGCCACGCACTTCAACTTGGTTGCCTCTCGTTAAGTACGAGTTCGTGTAAAGATACACATCCCCTTTCTCGAACAACAAGTTATCGCCAAAATGCTCATCCGTGTCCGCTCGAAGAATGGTACATGGCGCGTGGGGGACTTGACGCCAGCATCCACCATCGCGGACATTAAGCGCTGGATCTTCGACCAGCATTCGATCGCTCCAGCGCAGCAGCAGCTTGCACTGGACCAACAGGGCGCTCAGCAGACCACAGACGCACAGACTCTGCGCGAGTTGCGTGTTGGCCATGGTGACATGCTGTTCCTAGACTACGACGGCGAGACGGTGTCCACGGGCGGCACCGTGGGCACCAAGATCAATGCGGATGGTACACTCACGCGCGTAGCGTATCACGACCGCGCCGACAAGCAGGCATTCCGTCCAGGCATGAAGTCCCTGCGAGACATGAAGATGTACTGGACACTGGGCGAGTTCATGCGTATGGACGCCCAGTTCGAGTTCAAAATCAGCGCGCAGAAGGAGCCACATGTGGCAAAGGTGCATCTGGATGGCGCGAGCTGCAACGACTTCCAAGCGTATCTGCGTCAGTTCGCCTTCCAGCAGTCGCGCTGCGGTTGGCTCTACGGCTCTGTGGATTCCGAGACTAAGGAAGTGACGGTGGACTTTATCTATGAGCCTCCGCAAGAGGGCAACCCGTACGGCTTTGAGGTGCTGGACGACCCCAACGCAGACAAAGTGGACGCTGTGGCAGAAGCACTGGGCTATGAGAAGGTGGGCTGGGTGTTCTCGCACCCACCTCGCGAAGACGAAGACTTCCACTTTTCGGCAAGAGAGATCCTGCTGGCGGCTCAGCTGCAGGCTGATGCAGGCGGCAAGGGCTCGCTATTCCTTACGCTCAAGGTGACGCTAGATAAAGAGGGCCAGGCGTCGTTTGAGGCCTTCCAAGTCAGCGACCAGTGCGTTGAGATGTTCGCGGCTGGCGCACTGATGGAGACCGAACAGAACCCCAAGGCCTGTGCAGTCAGCGACACATTCACGGCTCTTGTGGAGGCCAAGCCGGCGACTGAGGTGGACAACAACTTCTTCCTGTGCGTGGTTCCCGTCGTGCCGCACGAGTCGCCGCTACGCTGCGAATTTCCCAAACTCAATCGTGAGGGTGCCTACCGCAACCGCGCGGCGCTCAAGACTCAGCTGCAAAAGTATCGCGACGAGCCGTACGCCAAGCGCATCAGCGACTTCCAGCTTTTGGTGTTTCTATCAGATTTTCTTGACGTGCAGACCGACATCCCGGCCATCTGCCAGGCCGTACGCGATCCCAACACCCCGCTGGACTCAGGCTATCCGATTCTCATCGACTCGGTCGCTGGCAGCCAGTGAGCGCTGGCCAAGTCACAGACGCTAATAGCGAAATTGTGGAAACTGAGCGCCCATACTCATCGTTTGCTCGTTTTCTTTTTTTTCGATTGGCCAAAATATTGTAGACGCGCTGATGGCACACATTCACTTTGACTTTGACTGGGGACTACACGGAACAGTCTCCGCCTGCTTGGCTCCTCTCCCTTTTCTTCTTCCCAACCCGACGATGGTGACGGCCGGATTCTTCGAGGTGGTGGCAGTGTGCGTGGCGCTAGTGGCGGCGCTGGCAGCGACACATGCACGCTCGGAGCGCCGTAAGCGGCAGAAGTTCGCGGTGCAGCAACCGCTGGTCACCACCAAGAGCGAGCTGGAGCTGGTCAAGGACATCGTGTACATCAACAACTCGACGGATCCTGGTTCCAGCTTCCGTATGGAGCACTCTAGCCACGCGCTAAATGTGGAGGGCAATCAGATCCTCGTGGTTGGCGTGTGCGGCGGCTCCGGCTCAGGCAAGACCACACTCTCGCGCGCCATTATGGCGGAATTCGGCACCGAGCGCGTGTCGTACCTCTCGCACGACTACTACTACAAGGACTTGAGCCACCTTACGATGGAGCAGCGCGCCAAGCACAACTTTGACCACCCGGATGCGCTTGAGACTGACCTCATGGTCAAGCACCTCAAGCAACTACGCGGCGGTAAGACTGTGGACGTGCCTGTCTACGATTTCAGTACGCACTCCCGGTGCAAAGCCACCACCCCGATGAAGCCCAACAGCGTCATCCTCGTGGAGGGCATTCTTATTTTTGCTGATCAAGCGCTCGCCGATCTCATGGATATCAAGATCTTCGTCGAGACGGCTGCGGACATCCGCCTCGTACGCCGTTTGCACCGCGACATGGAGGAGCGTGGCCGTACAGCCGAGTCCGTCATGGACCAGTATATGAAAACGGTTCGCCCCATGCACATGATGTTCGTGGAGCAGTCGAAGCGCGTGGCGGACATCATTATTCCGCACGGCGTCAACTCGGTGGCTCTGGACATGATCATCTCTAAACTTCACAACTTCACGGCAGGCCACAGTGCAACAGGCAGCAGTAGGTCCAGCAGCGAACGCTCTGACTCGATCGAGGAGGCACCAAGCGCTTAAGCAGGACAGTGTTGAGTTGAAAAGACAAGTTTTAGCGATGTACATGCGCTTCATGTGATCAACACGTACTACAGTATTGTATCTGAGCGGGTACATGTAAATGTGAGAGTGTAATGGTCCGCATTCCAGAGACGACAGCACAACACGCCAGCGATGAGTGGAGGCCGGCAGCGGAGACATAGAAACATAGTTGAAGTATCTCAAAATTAGTTGATATTGACGACATTTGTTTCTTGTTTGGTTTCTGGCTTGCTTGTCTAACAATTGCACCCTTGTTGCAGTGCGGCAAACGTCTCGAGGTGAGCACGATTGTAGACGAGAAAATCGTTTACGCTCGAGCTTCATCACGCTCAACAAACCACGTGTGGAATTTCTGGCAATATCATCAAAAATTAGCAAACGACAGTCGCAGCAAAATGATGCAAACGAGGTCCGCACTTGGAGTTCATTCAAGACTTCACATACTGAAGAATCACCAAAAGCGGGTGCATTTTTAAGTTCGAGGACTAGCAGCGTATACTCGTCTACAGACGACCGATCACGACCTCCAGCTCCTCAGCAGTGCAGACGTGGAAGCCCTTCTCGCGCGTGACAACAGCCAATTCCACGTTAATGCTAGTGAGCTTCTCCTCCATGTGTTGCTTCAGAGCGCCAATAGCAAGTGTCTCGGCCTCCTGCAATGTCAGTTCGTCAGTGTAGCCATCCTTGAGGTTGTTCAGTGCCCCTTCCGATCCAGAGCCAATAGCGTGGGCCTTCACGGGCCAGTACGTGCCCGAGGGCTCGGAGAAGAAGAGCTGCGGTCCGGCCTCATCTACTCCAGCTAGCAGCAGAGCCACACCGAACGGACGGCTCATCTTTTGCTTGTGGTTGTTCTCGTCTGAGCCCTCACCGAAGCTCAGCGCCAAGTCGCAGATGGACTGCGTCAATGCCTGCACGCGCACAGGCTCGTTGTACGAGAACCAGTGATTGGTGGCTTCTACACGCGCGTGGTCAATCAGTGTCTGCGCGTCGGCAGTGATACCGCTCATTGCAGCGCCCACATGCTTGTCGACCTCCATGATCTTCTCAATGCTGTTTACGTCGCAACATCAAACACGGTAAGTTAGCATGTTGCAATAGTCAGCATATTGTTTGAAGGCAAAAAATCAACTCTATGAGGGAAGAATAAATATTTGCCGACATCTATCATCAGGATCACCAACCTGCCAGGCTCAAGAAGCGGCGATGTCAGTCGCTTCTCCACCGCTAGCACGACGCCCTCTTTTGTGCGGATACCGATAGCCGTGGTGCCCATCTACGCAACGCCCGTGAAAATGAACCATGGCTCTTAGTATCAATGATAGTAGTGACTAAAGAGTTTAGAGGCGCACCTTGATGGCTTCGATGGCGTACTCCACCTGGAAGAGTCGTCCCTCAGGCGAGAACGTGTTCACGCCACGGTCATACTCGGTGCTGTGGATGAACGGGACACATTCAATAAGTTAGCACGCGAAAAGAGCTGCTTGTGGAGCACGGAAGCTGCGTCAGACTCACTTGGTCTGGAACATCTTCGGATTCGGGCTTTCGATTCGCCTTGGCTTCTCCCCCTGAATTGATATCTTATTGGATTTACTGTGAAAGACATATTAATATGTGTTCTCAGCGGTATTTTATTAAAAAAATCCCGCTTCTGAGTGACACGTCATTAAAAAGGGGTAATTTCAATTGCAAACTGCAAAAGTTGACCACCAAAACGCAAAAGAACGTCAAGGCGCGCTTTAAATTTCTCTAGAAAACACACACAGACAGACAAATCAAATAGAAGGCAATTTATGATCATCATGGTCAGAGTGTCATGATCATGACACTCTACCAGCTGCGAGACCTTGGTGACGAATGAAACATTCATAGATTAATACACCATTCGCACAGCACGACAGTGTCCTGAATTTTTCAGAGCTGAAACTGTAGCTTGAAATTCACCCAGCTTCACCGTGAGCCTTGCCTTTTCTCAGTTGTAAGTTACAGCTAGTTAGTTGATTCTCAAACTTGAAATCTATTTCAAGCATCCGTGCTAGTAACAGTCTGCTTAATACCGGTGTTGCTCACCAAAACTGAATGCTGATTTGCTTGCATAGTATTCTAAACCTTATTTCGTAAATTTCGTCTTTCCGAGTGTCCATTCCACAGACACGGTTTGCAACCTGGTAAGATCCGACAAAGTGGCGGATAGTGTCCGGTATGTTATGTGGATCGACCATTGACTATTATTGCATCCGGAGCGAGACTGAACGCTCCTTTCTTTTGGAGATTAACTAGACAAGACTTACAGCACACCCCGTTACATAAGTGCCGAGTGAAGAGCACCTAAGTCACCAATGAGATCGTGAGCGACGCTCGCCCTAAGACAGCATAGAAATTAACAGTATCCTATAGCTGATATGAGCTTTATCTGCTCATATAAATCAACCAGCGAGCTGCACCGCTGTTGTCGAAGTCAGCACTGAAGCATCTAATGCCCACAGTTCGGCGACTCCACCCAATCAAAAAGACCCAAAATTCGAGTCAAACGTCACTTGCGTTTTGTATGGCCAAGTTGAAGTTGATGGATGCATAGTTGTTGACAAACCCAGGAAAAGGCTTCCTACTTCGTTAGGCACTTACTTTTTCCAACAATGATACTTACACTATCGATTTACCTTGGTTTGGTGTGAAGATATGGAGCCTTCTCGACCCGAACGTTCAAGTGACTCTGAAGGTATTCTTTTACGGATGAAGGAAAGACAGAGGGCTGACGAGATGCAGTCCATTTATAAATCAAGCGTCGAGCCATCCCATGCCGCACGCAAGATCCAGACATTTTTTTTCCTTTGATTCATGCGATGCAGCAATCTGCTGCCACTGGCCTGTGCATCGACACAGTGGACTGAAAGCAAATGCTGACCTACATGTATTCACATCGCACAGGAATATCACCACCGAAGTTCCTACCATTTGCCTTAGAAGATCGAGGATGACAGATAATGTATGGCATCAACGAGACTGTTGCTTTTGGTAGGTGACCTTGCAAGGCCCTTTACATCGGAGCCTATTTTTATTTGCTCCTTTGCTTTTTCCCGCTGTCTACAGATGTCACCCAGTCGCACTGACCCCTTCACGTCAAGGTTGACGTGCTGGCCGAGACGAGTATTGAGATCATCACCGCTGCTCCGTCCCATTGCGCACTGTGGAAGGCACTGTCGACACCAGAAGACTGGTCGTTGAAAAATCGTGTAATACATCCGCTCCGCGCTTCGTTACTCGACGCCACTTCCTTGCCATGAGCCCCCACCAATCTCCCTCCACACAGCAGATATTGCCCGGTTACCCCGCAGCCCTACCTTGTCTCAACAAGTGCTTGTGCTATTGGAGCCGGTCGAACAGCCGCTTTAGCCACTTGCTTGTCTTTCATAGCCCAAAGTCACTGCTTGGCGTCTTCGTCATTGCCGCAGCATTTCTCTTTCCGTCAAGTGCCTCTGGGTCACAATGGGTGTTGACCCAGTGCAAATGCGCGCCCTGGAGACTCTTCCGACCAAGAATCAGCCCACAGACGTGTGCGAGCAACAGCCACAGGACAGCGGCAACTGCTTCAAAGCCGTGACACCAGCGCCGCCGTCGTTCAACAAGTGGCTGGCTAAGGCTCTCGCCGAGGAAGAAGCGGCCAGCAAGATCCAGCGCTTCTTGCGGTACTGTCTCAAGCTGCGGCAATCTGGCAACGTTTCGGTGCAGCGTACGGCGTCGACGACATCCTCGCTCGACTCGCTTCCCGCGCCGGTGGAGCAGGATGAGGATCATCTGCAGTACGAGATTTTACTCTGGTACGGCTCTAGTCTCGGCTCGGTGGGCTTCGTGTCGTGCGATATTACAGGTTATCCGTGTGTTGAAGTGGCCGAGGGCAACGACTCATTGCCCGGGATGTGGAATCTCCGCGAAGGCGATTTCCTTATTTCCATCAACGAGCGCAGCACCAGACGCTCCTCTGTGCCGTTTGACGCGGTCATGCAGATCTTGGACAGCGGCGTGCGACCGGCCGTGCTACGCTTTCGAAGGCCGGCGTCGCATGAGCTGCAGAGTCTCACAAAGAGACCTCGGCGGCCGTCAATGACCGCTCGTACGGACCGACAGAAGAGTCGAGAGCGGCTGGAGCGGTCCTTGAGCTACATCATCTGGAGAGAAGACGACGGCCCGCTTGGAATTAGCTTGAAGCCTGAGAAGGGCAAGTCGTACCCGGTGGTTCAGGACATGAACACGTCTGGCGTAGTGAGCTGCGGTGGCAAGCACAACAAAGTAAGTGTGGGAGATCAACTGTTGACCATTAACCACTACGACGTCTTCCGCTTGGGTTTCGAGAAAATGTGCCAGGTCATGAAGGTTGCCCCCAAACCACTCGTGCTCACGTTTCGTCGAACGTCACCGGAACCGAAGGAGCCTCGCTGTCTCGACCTGTGAGAGATCGTTTCCATCTCTCTTCATGCTCTCTGCCTTTGTGCCTGTTGCCGCTCGAGCAGTTGAGCGATGTCTGTGTCAGTCCTTCTTGTTGCATGTGCCGTGACTTTCACGCATTATTTATCACAAAACTAAAGCCCAAAATCCATGATCTTTGCAAGCTTTTCAATAATTAGTGGCTCCAATGGCCTTAGTAACTAGCTCTACTTTGTTGATGAAGGCAAGCTCACTCCCCAAAACGGATAATGACGGCAGTCATGTTGTCCATGGAGCCTTGCGCCTTGGCCTCATCCAGCAGCATTTTGCCAATAGTGATGGACTTGTCGCCCTGCGCGAGGCGCTTGGAGACAAACTCTGTCAATTCTTCGTCGCTGAAGACGTCTGTGACGCCGTCGCTCACTAATACGAGGAAGGCGTCATCCGACGCGATCTCCAATGATGCGATGTGCGGAGCACTCGTGATAAACTTTTTCTCGTCCGCCTGCCCCAGTGCACGCGTGACGGATATGGAACCAGCCACACGCTTGTTGACGATGATGCCATTGAGCGCACGAATCCGCTTGACCTCGTCCTCGTTCGTGGCCTTGTGGTCTACTGATAACCGCGACGTCTGCCCGCCGCAGTAGAAAATGGCACGGGAATCACCAACGTTGGCGATGTGGAAGGTCGTGCGGCCATTGTACTTGCGAATAAGGCAGGTGACGGCCGTGGAGCCACTCTCGGATGACTCATCAAAGTCCTCGAGCTCTTTGTCAAGCGATGAGAAGGCCTGGGCGTAGCAGCTCTCGATCTCGGCGTTGCTTAATACGTCCGCCTCCACATCAGAGCAGTCATCCATGCTGCTAGTGGATGTGACGTAGCTGCGGTTGCTACTACTTTCGGCCTCGGACGGCCGCCTTCTCTTTGCACTGTACATGACTTGCATGAGTTCAGCGAGTTTCTGGTGAAAGTACTTGGCCGCGTACTTGGCGCAAAAGTCTCCTCCGTGGCCATCGTAGACGCCGAAGAAAGAGCTAACGGCCGGGTCGTCTGGAAAGGCTCTGTACTTGGGGATAGCGACACACTCGTCTTCCATGTGCTTTCTAAACTGACTGTTCTGTGTGGATACCGCGGCGTAGTCGCACACCACGGGGCTGGGCAGGTACTGATCGGTTGGTTTCCGACCACAGCTTGATGGACTGAGTCGTCGTCTCCGTTCCTGACCCGCGGGTGACGTCGTTGCTTCCGGTTGGCCACGATCTTCCTCGGCTCTTCGTAGCCGGAAACATGGCGGTGAGAGCACGTCGGCGGACGAGGAGCTGGTGATCTTGCTGCGCCGGTCGGTCATTTGCTGGAGCTTGGTGCCGGAGGAAGGGCCGCGGCTGTGGTCGCGCGAGCACGAAATTCCCATGAACGAATCGCCAGAACCGCGGGGGAAGGCGCGGTCTGTCGTGATGGACGGCAGGTGGAAGAACGTGGTGATAAGCTGCGTCAAGCAACGGGGAACGGCGCCGCGGCGAGCGGGGCAGCCGAAGAGATAATGAATGACCTGCTGTGGCAGTGCAAGAGCCATAACGCCTCACTGGAAATAATAGGGCTAGGGGGTTAGAGTATTTGATTTATTTCGTCCGGGCGATTATTCGATGCGAGCAGAAGGGGCTTTTGGCCACCGCCGCCCTGCCTGTCAGTAGTGACAGGCAGAGTCCGTTCGACTGAAACTTCGGGTGGAAGGAGCATTGGCCACCATGAGAATCGAGTGCATGGCTTTTGGCGGCAAAGCAGAGGAATTCACCGCCAAAGCCGAGGAGGAATCGGTTGCAGCAAATCGCCATTTTTACACTGTACAATACTTAAGTAAGCCGTGATGATGACACGCCTCTTGCAGTGTACATATACCGAAATCAAAAGGTGCTCGAGAACAAACTAAACATGAACAAGCACTGCAAGTTGCACTCGCAACGCGTTAGCGGACTGCTGGTTAAATCAATACCATCGAGCAGGCAGGAATACACTTCAACTTAACTGTCTGCGTCCGCATGATAAGCGCCAAGGGCGGTGTTTGCTCGGTATCTGTTGCCGAGGATACAGGGTCCTGATGCACATCTAACTTATCAAACTTTGCATACCGATACATGTAGCAAGCTGGCTGAGGGCGACTCCGGTATTACCCTTTGTGCGTTGGAATGTCCCCGTCAACGTGTATGTATATGTACATGTACCTACATGCAGTGCATGCACACATGCACAGGTACCACTGCGACTTACAGATGGGCTGCTTGGTGCCCATCGCCTTCAGAAGGCAAAGCACTGAAGAAAACGTCCCCCCGCGCGATCCTCTCTTGTCGGGAATCCTAATTTAACAGGCGATGAACCTCACCAACTGGTTGGTGGCCATGACTCATGGCCCATGAGCAAGCAGCCCAAATTCTGCGTCACACAGTGTCTCGGCCTGTGAGTTACAGGCCACGTCGGCAAACACTGACCGGAGACTAGCCAACCACTGAATCTGTCGGGTAAACACAGTGCTTGTCACAGGTTTACTTTGCACGGTATACCGTGGAAAATGGGCCTGAGGATGGACACCTTACCACCGATCAGCTAAATCGGCCTATCGACAACGCTGGCTGCCAGCAATGATGTAGCCCACAAGTACTCGTGCTAGACTGTGGCAGTCTCACCTAGACAATGTGTCTAAGACAATCACTAACTGTCTTTTGTGCTTGTCTATCATGCCTGGCCGAACAACATTGTGCGAAGCTTTTACCAGTACCTTAAAGTTAACACAAGGGATGCCTTCGTGCTAGTGACCCTGTCTGTCGACTTGATTTGTTTTTTCCTGTGCGACAGCAGTAGCAAGAGACCGTGTGCTTTACACTCAGTAAAGTTAGCATACAATGCATACCGAAAGTAGGCTTTGGCTTACATATCATATAATCAAAACATACTTTCGATCAAATCAACAATTTCCATTTCATTTTGTGTTATCCAACGGCTTCGCAAACGGCCGAGTCGAAACACAAACATGAAGGAGAGGTCTGCTTTCTTGGGGGCATTGCACCCAAACAATCTGTTGTCTAGACATGTTGGTGTGGAAATATTCAGTGTGATCAACCCGAAAGTTAGTAGGCACTAAGATGCGTTTCTCCAATCGAAAAAACGGGGCCTCAAACACCATGTTTTGTGTAAAAATGAAAAGCCACATTTCGATCGAAGAAAGCAATTGCGACAACGCTGTGACTGCAGCAGTCAAAGTTTACTCATACTCAATACTCAAAGAGCCTTGGCTGGTGTGTCGTGTGACGACTGCGCACACGCACGTTCACTTTTGTGCTTGACTAACGCTCAATCCTCACCGCTTGCTGCCAGGAAGTCCCCAATACACGAAATGAATGGTAGCAGAGATGAGCAACAATTTCTCTGAATTTATTTCTGAGCTGAGGAAGGATCTGAAAGGTGGTACAATTTTCCACGAGCTCAAACCCGGTAATTTATTTGGTCTAAAATGATCTAAACAAAAAGGTTTAATAAGCTTTACATTCAGTTTGCTAATTAGTGCACTAATAGTGTTCGTACTTAGTGTTAAATCGTGGAGGCTTTGAATGGGAGTTGCTCAAATCGTGTTTTCAGCACGGTTTAGCAGAAAATTACACTTATTGAAAGTGCCAAACTGAATCTCAATCGTATTCGATGTGCTAAGTCGTGCATTAATCTTTTCTCCCCAGGCTGAAAGCCTACCAGTAGATAGCTACAAGGCTACTAGTAGTCTTTGCATAGATTAGTTTTTATATGGAAGTTTGTAAAGTCTCACATATGTAGTGCAAAAGAAAGTTCAAATTGAAGGCAGCGCGACATGGTCACTGAAGCATGTTCGTTAAGATCTTGGCCCACAAACACCAAAAAACGACTGCAACGGGATATCAGAGCAACCAGCGCATTAGTAGGAACACTTCTTACGGCAGATGTTGCATTGTCGTTGGACACGTTTCCCACTTGCACGTGCTTCAGCATACTGCGAGAGATCACAGAAAGCCTTTAGTGTGTGAGCTGTCTGGAAAAACACTAGTGTCAACACAATACTCAGAAACGGAGACAATATAGAAGCTACCTCTTCGACCTCACCAGCCCTCGCGTCAGATCGTAGTGCCCGCGTCATGGTGTGCTCATTGAAAACAAGCTGGTAAGAAAATTGCGACACAAAGTCGTTGAAATTTAGCACTGTCTTGTCAAAGCCTGGTTTTCAATCAATTCATAACGGTACGTGTTGTAGGCGTCCACTACTGTACATTAAGTAGAAATATTTCACTAGTGTCGGCTCTCCAAGCTGTAGGTACGCAGGCCACAGAAATTTTATTGCTCGAGATGAAAACTGTGTTGCTTGGTCAACCAAGATGGCATCACAAGACACCCACAATCTGCCGTGAGCTGTCACGGTATCGCCCCCCTCACTTTCCGAGTTTTCAACTGAGTCGACTGCATCATCTTCTCCCTCTTCACCGTCGCTAGAGGATGATTCGCACACTAGATTGTCTTGGTTGTGGTCATCTGCGGACCCGAGAAGCTCCAAAAAAATACTCCCCTCACTTGCAACGCCATACTCAAACCTGCTAAAGGCTGGATCCACACTAATCGAACGAGCAGAAACGATGTCTACAGCTCCATTTGTCCATTGAACATCATAGGTGTGCTGCCTGCTCTCCTTCAGCACGCGCAGGATGCGTCCAATCTTGCCCATGTGTCGCTTGCTTTTACCACATACTCGATTTCCAACCTGCAACTTCGTCATGTTCTCTTGGCCAAATTGAATGCGGAAAAAATGTTGTGCCCTTTGCTATTTTGAGTTGAGCGCTGTCCGTTTCAATATCCTTATATGCAGCTTTGTGAGCCAAACTTTATTTTTGAAGTTGAGACTACCGGTACGCTGGTCATCCTACCTATCCTACCAATGGGGAGAAAAGATTAAATGCTTGGTCGCACTACTGGGTGCCGGAAAGATGATTCGTCATTTGTACTAAATCGTACTCGAGTACGAATTAGTAGTTGATAAGTCGTACAAATTACAATCGAAAGTGCCAAAAAGTATGCAAATCCCAATACAAAAATAGATAGTATTCAACAAAGCGAAACCCCGGTAATCTTATGAATTTCATGCGCATCGTTCGAACCATACGCTATTAAGTATGGTAATAAACTAGCCAATAGGCCACAGGCTAGAAAAGTAATTTATTCGTAAATTATGTATTGTAATTTGAGCGTTTTTGGCAGTTTTAAAAGTAACTCGTACGATTTGCGAGTGACTAGCAATTTATAATTTTTACAGCAATCCGTGCACTATTTAGTTTTCAAGCAGCAATAGAAATCCTAGATGTGCAGAGGAGCGCGTGGCCAACCACTACCAGAAGCATTTGGTTTGGCAGTTTTGTAAAGTGCCATTTCGAGATAAGTCATCCAGCATGACGCATTTGAAAGGCCTCCGCTGATGTGCAGTCGTGCTCTTCTTTGTTTACAATTTTGATGTGGCCCAGGCTGACATGTGCTTGGAGCCTCGGCACGCTCTTCCTTCGTTGGAACCAGTTCTTCAAAAAACATTGTATGGTGAAAGGCGCGAAACGGAGAAAGCGAGCGTTCCGGTGGCGTGTAGCCGTGCGCGTGCTCGTGCTAAAGCACATAAAGAATCATGCGTGCTTTTATCTCGAAGATCTTCAAGACACTGTTTGCTACAAGTGTGGGAACATCAAGGCATCGACAGCAACAATATACGATTCGATTTTAGGCTGACAAAGAAAATTTTAACGAAACGATCCCGCGGAGGTAAGGCCGGTCAAGTTTAAGACTATATTGACATGTTGAAGCCATTCTATTCAGCGCCCGAGCAACTCGTGTTTCTAGATGGAACAACCAAGGATAGTCGCATACATTGCGTTACCAGAATCAGTAAAACTTGACATAGTTTTTGAAGGAACCCCGTGGCAGGTTCGTTACAGCCCAATTTTTTAAATGAAGTTTGGGATACTCTTTGCTCGCCGTCTTCGCGATGCCCATAAAATACAAATCAAGCTTTTTCTCCCGCTGAACCAGTGTTTTCACTGAGGCAAAGGCACTATCGGCCACCACAGTCCTTCTACTTCCTTTGTATTATTCCACAAGGCGCAAAACTACTGCAGTTCCCTCACCAAGTTCACTGAAATGTGCCATCTGGCGTTGACGAACAGCACCTTCTACAAGTTCAAGTCCTAGTAAAACTCCACTATCGCCATCGGCGAGAGAATTCAGCTCAGTTCCCTTCCCTTCAGGTTTCGAGCATTTTTTTTCGTTTTGCGAGGAAGCCTATCGTGCGTATACTTGGCTTCACGTCCCTTCCAGGCACTCACACATTCGTCCACCACGAGCATATTCCCTGGAGAAACGTGCTTTTTTTTCTTTGGTCGTTGAATTCGTTTATCAGTGGACGTATCGGTTTCCAGGGATCGTCGGTTTGACTGCTGTCCGAGAACGCAAGTGCATACAAAATTTGTTAACCACGGGTGTCGACAATCCGTCGACATAGTCACCACGAACGGCGATCGCGTACGTTTTGTTAACTGGCTCCTTGCAGGAAAAAAAAATCCAAAGTACCACGTTACTATATCACAGGGTATTAGATCCATTGTTGCGAAAATACCATTCCCGGCACCCGGAATTGATGACGCAAAACAATGATGACTCATTTAAAACCTAGATGCATAATTGGCAGCAGTATTGACGTAGCCCTCTTTGTCTTGTGTGTCCCAATAAACCCGTGTAGGTCCTCGGCGTGGTTCCAATGCCATTGTTAAACGAATTCCGATCCACCGAAAGAAGTCTCCTGGTCCGATAGAACGGAGCAAATCCGTCGATAAGTTGATGTTGGTCAGTCGAAGAGTTTCATGTTGAGTGCTCATGGGGTACATTAGGTAAAAATATTTTACTAGCGACGGCGCTCCGAGCTGTGAGTACGGCACCCACAGAAAAGTTGTTGCCTGAGACAAAAATTTAATTTGCAGGATCTACCAAGATTGAATCGCATGGTACCCATAATCGACCGTGAGCCACGACTGTACCGGCTGCTTCGGCTTCTGAGTACCCCTTCAAGCCAGCATCATCATTTTCCTCCTCATCTTCATCATTAGAAGAGGACTCACACGAAAAAACAGCTTGGTTACCTGAGGTTTCGTACCGGAGAAGCTCCACAAAGAAGACTTCTTCGCCAGAAATTGTATGCTCAGCGACATTAGAGTATTGTTCAATGCAAATTAAGCGCGCAGAAACAATATCTACAACTCCCGGAACCCCATTCAACCTCGTATGTGTGCTGTCTGCTTGATTTTAACACCCGAAGGATGACACCAGTCTTGCCTAAGTGACGCTTGCTTTTACCACATACCCGATTTCCTACCATCAGGTTTGGCATCTTCCCTTGGTCAAATTGAGCTCAGAAAAAAATGCCGGGCTACTAGCTCTTTGGACTAGAGCGCTGTCCGTTTCGGTATAAGTGTCCGTTGCTAGGTGAGCTCAACTTTATTTTTGAAGTTGAGGCTACTGGAACGCTCGCCATCCTACCCATCCTACGGATGGGGACAAGAGATTAATGAGAAGTTTTTGCCGTTTTCTGAACCCGTGGCCGCTTCCTCGCTCTATCCTCATACTGGATAATGCTAAAATTCACATGAACAAGGAGTTGGACGAAGCGGCCCATAGCGTGGGTGCGCTGATGTTTTATCTGCCACCATACTGCCCTCAACTAAACGCGATCGAAGTTGGGTTTTACTGCTGAAGAGATGGATCCACAAGCATGTCAACTTGGATTTCGTATATGCGCCGCAAGCAGTGCTCGCCTTGGCAATGTATTCCTGCTCACGCACGAACCAGGGAACCCGTGAAATCTAAAAGTATTGAAGATATGAGACTGCCTCATTATCGACAAATGTTAGTGTAGCTGCTATAGTAGAACCAACATCGTATTTCAACTACTGGTGATCTACATCCTCCATGTTGTTTGCTGGTAATGTCATCGGTACGTCGCTATTATGAGGGGCGCCTAAGATCGCAGACAGGTAAGCCGAGGATATCGCGAAGGTCATCGAGCGAAACAGCCATATTGACCTCGCTGTCGCTTGACAGGATTTGCACCGTTCTAAATCGGCGATCTAACCGCCTTTGCTCCGCTTGTTGCTATTACCGCCATCTCGCGACGAGCCTCGTCAACAGAGCAGAGTTAACGAAAGGTTGCGTGTTCGGGGACCGTGCGCTGCATTCCATCCGGCGCTCGCGCATGCTGCGTCGCAAAGTATCGCAACTCGAAACTATTTGGCGCAAGTTGGGGATGGTGAGTAGTTGCAAGATGCTCTTTAAGTCGAGCGGATGCTTGGTTGATCCGAGCTACAGTTGCTCGTCGAATCGAGTTTTGAATGTGGAATCACATCAGATAGACTCGTGCGTTACCATAGATTCACCGACATGTAAAAGCCATAGCACACTTACCTTCACAGCATATGCAAATGCTAGTGGACAAAAGTCAACAAGAGCCACTTTTCTGCGTTATGGGTTTCACCAAACTTGCACGACTTGGGTGTCGAAAGAATCAGCATTCAGCTTGACGAATGCGCGCTAATTAGGATTTGTTCCAGGTTTTTGAGATACATGTCTTTTTCAGACCTCGATGTGCTCTCCTGAGCGCTTACAATCGATTAACTTTCGCAAGTAAGACGGTGTATCCTTCGGGCGACCGCAAACCCAGTGGTTGTGGCTGTTGGTGGATTGCTCGAACGTCGTTTAATGGTTCGCCAAGCTTGATGGCCAAAATTACCTTGATCTCTTCATCCTTAAAGATATCTTGCACCGTGTCAGGGCTTGTTGTTGGGTTGGACTTCATTTAAGACAGTATCAAACAAAACTTGTCGGCGCCATGAGCTACATAAGAACATGAAGATGGAACCAGAATTAGAGCGATCACGTGCTCGTTGCAAACAGTTTATTATGATTTATTACCTCGACGTCTCGTTCAACAACGTACAACCACGACTATACATAGCGTACTACACCAATGCGTTAGATACTCCAGTGCAGTTGATCAAATAAGTGGGTACCGATATCTGTCGTTGCCGTGAGACCGGGATGCTGGTGATCGAGAAGATGCTGCCGATGAAGTGGATCACTGTGGCCATGGCAGAGCTGTCTGCACGTGCTCCTTGATATACAGCCGAACGATCATCCAGTATACCTACTTACGTCGGGTCTTGGTAAGCAGCTACGTACGGCTCTTGATAGCCATCGTCGGGGCAACACAGCAGCCAACACGGTTGAGCTGGCAGTCGACACTGCCGAGAAGGCAGCCAAGTAACACGCACCCGAGATACTGTTAGGGAGGATAAACATGATGTCTGACATAAAGCTACTACGAGATCCGGCAGGCCCAGCGTGCTGCACAAGTGTGGCGGCAACAGGTCGTTGATGTATATGCCGTTAGCGACCGTGGTTGTACCAACGAGATACCGACGATGAAGCGGCCCAGAGCGAACACTCAAGCGTTTGGCACGGCCACCTGTACGCTATCACCCGCGACCATGAACACACATGTGCCCACGAAAATCTTCATATAGCAGAACCTGTTGGTGAAGAGTCAGCATCGCGCGGAGCTAGCCCTATGTATCAACAAAAAACCGATGTTGGCTTCGGCCGATCCAGAAAGAACGATAGCATACCCTAGGCACCACTCACATACCTTGCGCCATCACGTGCTTCGCTTGATGCGGGCGAGCAGCACGTTGCCGCCAGCTCTGGTGGCAGTGGTCTGTTTTTCTCCACCGGATAATCTTGACGAATTGTATGAAATCGTGCACGAATTAGGGTAAAAGATGGGGATAAACTATGGAGGGCTACGTAGAAATTTACCACCATCCGGTGGCTTCATTATCTAATACAGCACTAATCGTGCCACAATGAAATACTAGATCGTAGTTAAGTACCATATTTTGCCATATTTCGCATGCCCTCTGGAAACCTCTTATGCATTGCATCCACTTCTTTTAGCGACTAACACAATTGCAAGTAGACGCCATTAATTACCAGCAACAGTGTTGACAAACTCCATGAATTTGAAAGTCGGTCGTAGATCTCGACATATAGAGACTCGGTGTCGCTGAGTGATTACGATC